GTTAAAAAAATAAATAAAAACCCTGACAACCCTTGACATTCAGCTAAAAATATCCAAAATAAAATCTAGGTTGTTGTCATCTTTAGGCAACACATTGGGCAAAGGCTTTTGGTTGCAGTCGTCTTTGAGTTACACAGGGTACCAATATCAGATCTATCCTGAAGCGGTGCCTATCCACGTTTGAATCTGAGTAAGCTGATGAACCATGCGCCTGACTCCAGGCAGGAGACGATCACAGCTTGACTTCACACGTCACATGCTGGAAAAAAACCAAAGGCCTGAAGTGCACATAAAAGCAATCAGGATATGAGAAAATCTGCCACTGACTCAAACATACACATAAAACACTGTTTTTGTAAATGCAAATAGTCCTAGCCGAAAAAAAAAGACTTCTGTAGTGACGCAGAACTGTAGATCAGTGATCATAACACCTATAGAAGCTCGTCATCACAACTGACATAAACCTAGATGTACACTTGTTAAAGCTTACTCCAATTAGCATTGTCTGTCATAAATGCTGCCTTTGTCAACGTTAATGTCAAGCTGACAACACTGATTTTTCTGACATTTGGTTGTCATGACACTTTTTTGGGTGAAATGACAAAGCATATGCATATTGTGTCATAATGTGATGTAATTTGTTGCAATAAATATTAACATTTTGTCCACAGCTGGCTTTGTATATGTTATACATGTTATAAATGTTTATGTAACTTTGTCAGTTGTCATAAAGGGCTTGTATAGGTGTTATGTAGCCTTATAAATGCTGCCTTACAGTAAATCGTGACCAAATTTTCCAGTGTTTTGTAGTTTCCTATCTTAAAACTTGCTATACCTTTCTATCATTTCAAAGCAATGCCTTTTGGACTTAAACATGCCCCTACAAACTGAAGTACCTGGATAACAGATACTTTAGTTTCTGGAAAACAATGCAAAAAGATGCAAAGGAAGAATGAGTGTTTGCATGTTCCTTTTGTTTTAATTACAGCTGTCGGATCATTTGACTAGCTATCTAACAATGTGCCTTCAAGACAAACTAAGGGCAATACTCAACATGAGAAAACTGAGAATGTCACCTGTAGAAGTCTGTTTTGGATCATTATTTTATGTATTGTAAGGTAAATATTTCCATCTTCAGTTTTCTGTAGATCCAGGTATCCAACATGGTTGTTGTCCTTGAAATATGTAGGGGCCACAGCTTACTAGATGTCTACAGAAGCTTGTCATTTGTTGTGATGAATTATGTCACACTAACACTTTCCATCACTCTTATTATGTTGTATCATATGCAACTTGAGTGCTCATAAATGTTAATAAATATAATAATAATAATAATAATAATAATAACAATAATAATAATAATAAAGTCCATTTGTATCCAAATAATCAACGTTGGTCTTTAATCTTTGTCTTTTCGTTAGCTACTGGCTAGGATGTTGTCTGCATTGCTATGGTGACCTGCAATCTGCACGCTGATCTTCAGGGTTAAAGGGTGACTTAGCAGTTATACATTAACTCCAGTGTTTAAGACCATTTATTGTTAAAACTGTATTAAAATGATTAGCAGAGCTTTATTTTACTGCAAAGGAGGAGTATAATTATATAAAGGAGCCAAAACAAGAGCCTCCGGGGCCTCATGTTGCCGACCACTGGGCCAGGTCCTGATGGTCATATGTTTTCCACTTTTTGGTAACACTTTACTGTAGGGTGCTGTTCGTAAGGCTACATGACACCCCCATAAACTTGTCATGACAACTGACATAACCCTACATAAATGTTTATAAATACTTATTCCAATAGGCGTCATTCACTATAAAGGTTACGTTTGCCAATTTTGATCAAAGTTAGCTAAAGTAGCCTTTATGACAGATGACACCTATTGGAATAAGCATTTATAAAGAGTTATGTAGGTGTTATGTCAGTTGTCATTACAAGCTTATGTAGATGTCATGTATTCTTATGAATAGCACCCTACAGTAATGTGTTACCCACTTTTTAATGTTCCAAGATATATTCATAACTTTTGAGATCTTTTTTACATTTTTACAATCTCTGCTTTAACTCTTACAACCATGTACCAAATGTATTCTGAAAGATCATTTTTCGCATAGTTTACCTTGAAATGCACCACCAAACAAAGGAGCAGCTGAACTTAAGCTGAGCTAATTAAAGTAACTACAGCTTCAGATTAAGGCCAATTCTCTCACTTCACAGTGTTGACAAGCATCCTGGACTTGAGGAATGACAAAAATATGAACAATCATAAAACCAGAGGAACTCTTCAATCATACTAAACATTTACATCACTGGGAGATCAACTACAGGGGAATGCTTCATTTTCACTCTGTGGTCATGGTTTATGTATCAACTGTATTAACAAAAGCTCCTTGGTTGTCATTGTGCATGGCAGAAGGTGGTAATCCCCTAAAGCAGGGGTGCCCATCTCTGGTCCTGGAAACTAAACAACCTCAGACAGTGCTAATGTTAAGGTACTCCTGAAATGGATCAGTTCTGATAGATTTGGGTTGAAACCAAACTCCAGGACCAGAGTTGCGCCTCCTTGCCCTAGAACCATTAATTTTGTTGATAATCCAGGACCAGTTGTGGAGGTACTGTTGAACCATATATCAGCTTCACAGTTCACTTATAACCTCTGACTGAAAACTGCAACCTCAATGTCCTGAAACAGTTTCATCTTCAAAGACCACAACAGAAAACTTTTAACACAGTGATGCAGGAGTGGAGCAGAACAATGAGAGCCTTATCATCATTACAACATATAATGGTAGCAGTATTAACACAGATAACTGTTACCTAAGTTCCCCTACTTGGTCTTAGGCAAGGGTGCTCATCTTATTCACAAAAGGCTGATGTGCTGCAGGTTTTCATTCAAGTCAAGCAAGAGCACCCCTGACTCCACTTCTATAATCAACTGGTCTCTATCTTAAAAAGAACTGGTCAGGTGTGGTCCTGCTTGGTCAGAATGAAAACAACATGCAGCCTGATAATCCATTAATCCAACTAATAGCTCAATCAGAATAGAATACATCCATGTAAACACATCAATCAGAATAGACTAGTCTGATTGAGGCCATTCAGAATACAATTTCTATCCGATTGAACGAGGTGGGTAATCCCGTAAATAATCCATTAAATAGAAGAATAATATCTGTGTAAATGTCTGTATCCAATTACAGTCCTAATAGGAAAGTTTAAGTATGTTCTGCGCATGTGCGTCGCTTTATAGCGAAAGTTTGTAAAGTCCAACATGGCGTGAGCTGAAACTGGTCTGCAGAGGAGATGAAGTTTAGGTTCTGATCTTTAAAAGACGGCGGTGGGACGGGCATCCAGCTTATGTGTCTCAGAACATGACGCCATGATGCCCTTCTTTAATCAGTACAGGTGAAGTACGTTTTCCTGAGTCCGACATCATTTTAAAGCGATTGAAAACACAAGCACTTCTCACTGCATCAACATCTACATTGTTACTCTATGCATGCACGTCATTTTGGATCATTGGATTACTTGTAGTGTGAATGTAAATGGAGATTTTCATCAGATTGTTGAGTAGAGTGCATATAAACACCTCAGTCTTAATCTGTAATCAGAATGTGTTCAATCGGATTGGCAAAAATCTTTGCATGTAAACACAGTTACAGAGACTCAATTCCTCAAAAGTCATTCATTCTTCGGCATCCACACAAATATGTTAATAAGATTCATTGAACAGCAACAGTAATCTGATTATTGCATCTAGTGCCCAAAAATTCTAATGCTGCTCTCATGGAGCAAATATGAGAACTTCTTAGACCTCTCACTGAGTCCACTTGGTTCAGACACAAGGCCAGTAATTGAACACAGGACCTCTGGATGTGAAGAGTGATGATACTGCTCTGATAAAGAAAATGAGGAGCAAACTTTGAGGCCAAATACTCAAAAGAAGTCACATGTGTCTTGGAAGGGATATGTCATGGTCAGCTCTGCAATGAAAGGACAGGTCATTGAACTGCCTCATCTGTTGATGCAAAGAGTCTGCTTTTCCAGCTGCACCAGACACATCCTTTTGACAGAAACCTGGTCCCCAAAAAGTTTAACATGTTGACATTTTGTACCTTGACTTTTCATGTAAAGCATATTTATGAACACCGTATCTGAGATTTGTTTGGATGTTTTTAATATACACTTACTGGCCACTGTATTAGAAACACTGTTCTAATATGGTGTACTAAATTCTTCATGGCATGGATTTAACAGTTCTGGTCTATGTTGACATTAAATTTGTCAGCTGCAACAAAACTCAGGCCATGCCACTCGAACAATTCTTGATTGTTTTTAATGGTTCCAATGTGTGCCAAGAAAACATTCTCCCGACCATTACACCAAATCCACCAGGCAAAACTGTTGACAAAGAGGCAGGTTTCATGCTGTTTACACCAAATTCTGAGCCTACCATCTGTGTACACAACAGAAATCAAGACTCTTCTACTGTCCAGTTTTGGTGAGCCTGTGCCCACTGTACCTTCAGATTCCTCTTCTTGGCTGACAAAATGGAACATGACGTAGTTGCTGCTATTGTAGCCCATCCACCTCAAGGTTCAAAGCTTTTGTTAATGCTTTTCTGATCACCACTAGGGCTGAACAATATGAGGAAAATATCTATTTGTGATTGTTTTCCAACTTAATATCACAATAGTGTGATTATTTTTCATAAACTGAGATTCAGGCTTGGTTTTTTGACCAAGAAGACCAGAACATAAAGCTTTTGATTTTATGCACTGCATTGCTGCCAAAGGATTGGATGAACTAGATAACTACACAACTGTGCAGGTGTACAGGCGTTTGTAATCAAGTGTTCTGTGAGTTGTGGACTAGCATGAATGATTAAGCTTAGAACTTAAAACACAACTGTACTGCAACACTGCAGCGTAATATAGAATAATTCGGAATAGTCTAGAGAAAAATTCCTAACGTTAAGATCACTGAAGGGCTGAAACAGAAGAGTTTCTTTTTAACTTTTATTTTTAAAAATGAGTAAGCAGATCATTCTTATGTCCTGTGAATACCAAAATCTGTGTAAACAGCACATATTTGCATTATGTCTCTAAATCTTAATATGAACACAATGTTGAACGACATATCAAAAGTCTTCCGAGAAACACTTTCGACAATGTCATGATAAAAACAGACCATACCAAAAATCACATGCATGTGCACAGGGTTCACAGTGGATTCAAGATAACTGGATAAAAGTACTTCTACAGTGTTGAAATAGCTGGGTCCCATCCCGAGAATCTCGACAGAACTCTCTCTTCACTTCTCCTTAATCAACACTTGGTTTACTCTTGGCTTAATGATGTCAATACACTATCTACACCTACCGTTATTTAATTAGAAATCTATTTCCTATGTTTCCAGTCTAAATCCTACTACTTAGGCATCAACAACAAAATCTCCCCTTCGAATATCTCAAAACTGCTGGTACTGCTTTTGTATAATAGCTGCTAGTGTGTTAGGCAGTACAACAAAGTATGGGAGGCTTAAACCCTTTCTAATGGATCTCAATTACAACATACTTACCTTCAGTCGTCGGCTATCTTAAGGCCCATTTTCACTTAACATGGTTCCAGCAATGACAAATCAATTAAATCTACATAGCATCCATATTCTGAATGTTTGCTGACCTTTCTTTGCACTTCTTCAGCAACAACCACCCTTGGGCCTCAAGCTTATCAGCGAACTGCCCTTGTAACACTGACAGTGTGAAGTCACCACTACAGTATAACAGTAAAAGGACAAGACATTTACTGACCTAAAGAGTGAGTCAAGATGGCTATCTGGACAACCAGCCAAGATAAAATAGCAAAAGTGAAGAATTGTGTTCAGTCTGTCAGGTTCGATTAAACTCAGTTTAATCACTGTGAAATGGCAGCAAATCTGTGTCATATAAGACAACACCACGGAGAATGGGTTTGTCATGTCATGCTCGTCCTGCGAGGCAATGTCAGCCAAAAGGACAGAGAAATACACCACAGCCAGGGTTAACGTTAAGGTCTGATGACCCTTCACCTCTAAGAATCCTCTACAAACATACCTGCAAAATTTGGAATGGTCCAAAATGGTTCTTCTACACATTAGAAACGTTCCCTACAGAATAATGCCAAGAGACAAAATGTAGAAACATTTTACAGCACATTTCACCTTGGCTTCACTCTAAGTACAGTAATAACTAGTGTCACAAATAGCAACAAATTACAAGATCACCTTTTAACAGTCTAGATTTTGATATAATCTGATACAAAACATTTTAATAATAATGTTAACTTGTGATGGATGTGTTAATCGTTTGTGCAAAAAGGGCAAGACTAAGAATGTGACAATAATTTTCTCTCTCCAAAAATAAAGGCAAGCTTTAAGTTCTTTTCTTTCTTGGTGGTTGTGACTGTGTCTTGGTAGGTACTGGTTTAGAAATGTGTCTCCTTCTCTGTGATGGTGGAGATCTTGCCGTCCGCCCTCATTTTGGCATCAGCGTCGTTGATAGCATATGGACTCTTGGCACCGAGCTGCCCTCTCATCCTCAGATCAGAGCTGGGAGTGGTGAGCTTCTTGATTCTCTGGAATCAGGAACAAATCCCACAGAGAACGTCAGTATTACATCCTATCGAACACTAGAGGGCGCTCCCGAGCTAGTCCAAAATGAATGGGTTAAGATGGAGCATTTGAGCATATTATTAATATTATATATTATTTGATATTTTTAAGCACTTTTGAACTCGAGTTAAGGGAGTTTAAAACAGTGCCTAATGGACATCCATAACATCCTTAATGAGCTGCTCTGCTTGCCAACCAATCAGAACTCAGTAGCAGTAATGTTAGCGTCTTGCTGCCCAAAACCTGTTTGCTGTAGAAAAAAGGAAATATATAGGTAGGTTTTCTTGGATTTTTTAGTGAAATACATCCTTGTACTTTCTAAAATTAAAGGAAAGTTTTGGACAAGTGATTAGAAACTATGTTAACTTTTAGTTTTTAGCCGTTGAGCTCCATTTACTCCCATTCATTGAGGGCTCACTCGCAGGTGCCTTTTACTGTTTTGCAGTCATATTTTGATATAACGGGGCAAATAGAAGTGGCCAGACTCCTCATAAACCAGCTCTGGTATTAGTTCAGAACTTCTTCTCTGGTCAGTCAAACATGACAGGCTACCGAATGAGAAGTGTTGCGCAGCAGCACAGCTACGCTGCATAAGAAGTGCCACAAAAAAGCTCTGATAAACAAGAAACTGAAGTTCATTCTAAACTCTACTTGCATAGATTTATTCTGACTCTGATCAAACTGTCAACATTATGTGAATGTACTGGGTTTGGTATCAGCCAAATAACTTCACAAATTTGCTGTTTCTGAGCTAAAAGATACGAGGTGAAATGGACCACTGAAGTGGTGTCATTCTACAGTTGGCGTCACACTTATATTAGAAACTCTGAGTCTAAGCTGGATTCCTTCGTGGCAAAAATGAATGGGATTTCAGAAATCGCCACTGACTGTGCCCTGTGTTTAACAAAACGGTTCCACACTCGAGATGTTTTCTCCTATGTGCTTAGACCTAGAACTGCTATTATGGAAACATCGCCAACTACAGAATGACGCATGACTTCAGAGGCCTCAATGATGAGGTAGGTGTCTAGTAATGTAAGCTGAGGTGAAAACACACACTTGGCATTTGTCTGTTTATCTTAAAGACTTTAAGCTGGCTGCCTTCATATGTGTACATTTCAAGCCATGTGTCACCTACTATAGATTTGCGATCTGGGTTTAATATAGTACAATAATAGTAAAATGCTGAATGGTATCCTTGCTGCATATGATGTGCAACAGCCTGAAGCATTAAAATTTCTTTTGTGAAGCTTTTCTGTCAATTGTGAGAGTTATTGTTTATCGAATACTGTTTGCATAATGCCTTATTTTGAAATCTGCATATCAAATTTGGCTGAAATGTCTATCAATAACTTTGGCACACTGTGTGGACACAACTGTGTTATGTTCAATAAAATCCACTGTTTTGAAATGCTAATTCCTGGTGAAGCATAACTGGCTAGAGTCCTGCTCAAGACAAGCAGAGTAAACAACACCTACAACCAAGCAGCTTCATGGTTTTTGAAGGTCGCTCAGTCAATAAGACATGGCACAATGGGGTCAGACCAGGGCAAAGCCTCCCTTACACTTACACACGCAATACGGTATCAACTCTGCCCTGCACTCAGAATACATTTCCAACCCTGCTGTGCTGCAGAAACCTTCATCTCTGGCTTGTCATGGTTCCACATGAAGTAATTTTCTCAGAGTAGTTTAGCTAAGAATTTTGTCCTGTCAGACACCTGTCTGAACTCAATACCCTAAACTGAGAAGTGCTGTCAGATCACTGTTAGGGCTGAGTGCTGCTCGAAATGTTTCAATATTGATGCCAATACCTCGATACCAACGCCTGAATACTATTTTCTGATACCTTCTTTTAAATGACAAAACTGAAAATGGGCAGCTTTCTGTTTCAGTCGCATTTTTAACAGGACTTTGTCCTCTTGCCCTCGCTGCTACCCTTTGGTGGAACTCCTGACGCCATCCTCAGGGCTGTTTAATTTCTTTATTAGCTAAAGTGAAGGGTGTTTGATGAGCCTTCAGAGGGTGAGGAACTGCACAAAAACAAGTTTAGCAGCAGAAATCACCCAAAAATCATAATTTCCATGCAAAATGCAATGATTAATGTTTCAAAACCACAGCATTTAATTTCCTGACCTTTTGGTCAAAATCTACTCCATCTGTTATTCAGGACTGCTAATATAAACCCATTATTTTACTCTGGTAACTAGCTTGTTAGCATGCTAACAGCTACAAGGCTAACAACAACAAAGAGGCACTTCAAATTTTACAGCCAAACAAAGCAATTACTCACAGACTTTATGTATGCTATGTTTAAATATCTTTAAAAATGTTGTATGGTGAGCCAATAAGCTCACTGAGGCTAACACTCTTTGCTATCACTTCCTCCTCTTATGCTGTGAATGGCCGAGTGACTTTTTGGGAGCCTGTACTGTAGTGTAGTATTGTACAGTATTGAAATGGAAGCCTAATCAGGAATCGCTGACATTTCTAACATGCATTCAGGATGTAATTTAGACATTTACTCAGTGGTCTAGATGTTGATCTAGATGCTGATGAGGCTGACAACTTAGGTACTGAAATCTGGTTTTGACTATCATGGAATTTTTCAGTACTGTGTAGTATTGATGTAATTCTGTCGGTAACAAAAGTATTGAATTTCAACACCCTGACTTCAACAAAACTGAACTCTTTGTGGTGCAATACAGAACTATTTTAAATGGTGCTTAAATAAACCATATACTAGAAGTTTTCATCATAGAGAAGAACCATTTAACCATGCAAAGAACCATTTATGCATTCAAACTGCCCTAGTTCTATTCACTGACTAAACTGAACCGACCAAGAAGAACCTCTTCTTTGATGGTGTAGCCAATATTAATCAAAAACAGATACAGTTGTATGCAACAGTTTGAACACCACTGGTCAAATTAACACATTAATTAACTGAAACATCCTCTGAGAATTCACTTTTAGTGCAAATTTTAGTTCAAAATTTGTACTGTAGTTTAACATATTGGGAAAAATAAAATGTGCCATAACTTTAGCACAGACCACAGTTTCTTTTATTATTTTTTTAAATATCTTAAATTCAGCAAATAATCAGTACTTGTGCATGTTACATTGTGCCTATTTGCTTACACTGTTACCATCATCTTATTTGCATGCTGCTAGATATCTCCGGCCTCCAGCGTCCATCCTTATTTAATACTCGGTCAGTTATTAATTTTACTTCCCTTTTTGGGGAAACTATTTGTTTAAAGAATGTCTTGTATGCCTGTTGCTATTTCTGAAGCTACACAGCCTTTACAAAAGCAAAGTACATGAGAGAAAATGTGAGCTTGCAGTCAGAAAATGTACCTCCATGAAGGTTCCTTCCGTTTTCCAGATCTGGACTATAATGCCCAGAGGAATGCAGACCATTGAGGACAAGGCCATCGTCCACCCAATCCCATAGCCCCAGTCCGGATAGGTGTAGACGTTGTTATATTTCAGAGGCTTATACTTGATCAAGAAGAAGAGGAATATACCCTAAAGGAGGGAGAAGAAATACTTATCAAACTATACCACACAAGAACTTTACACGATTACAATCACATCACTGGCACAGCCGTATTAAGCCATTCTGGGGCCCCTAGGCTAACACTGTCTTGGGGCCCCCACACACCCCTATCAGCTCACCAACACATTCATCACAATTTCCTAGAGACCATAAGACCATTTAACACTGATATACATCAGAATAAAACAACCTAAATTAATAAATCACGACATTTTTAGAAGTTCTAAGAAAAATAAATATGAGTTAAGCTCAATAATGGACATAAAATCATAAGGGTGAGATGCAGTCCTAAGTTAAACTGGGCTTAAGGAGGTGCTGTGGTCAGTCCTTTGATGGGAATGGTGTTGCTCAGGGTAGTCTATTAGTTAATGTACTGAGTTCCTAGCATTGATACACCTTCTGTCTTTCTGTCTTAACTCCAAGCAGTTGGTCAGACCTAAAGTTTTCAGTGTTTTGTGGTTCAGTTTTGCAAAACAATAATCATCATAATCATATAAGTTGCCTATCAAATGAATCAAAATTCCATTCACATTAAAGAGGAGCAGTGTTTGAAGATTTTATTTAGTTTTATGTGTCTAGTTATTCAATAGAATGCAGGAAATAAAACAATAGCAATACTCTAGTCTCCTCAAAGGATGAGACATAATTAAACTACTTTATGATGGGAAGATGAGCCATTTAAAGCAGGAGGTGTTCATTAAATGATATAAAACATGGAGCAAAAAACGAATTACCATTAGAACAAAGGAGCACACACAAGTGTATAGTGGCTCTTGCTGTGGTTTATCACTTTGAATAGTTTTTACAAAGACTAAGTTACATTTCTACCAAATTATAGAGTAAGAGCTCAGTTTCTCTTGACGTTCACATAAGCCATATAAGGTTCATATTCACAGCAGGACTGTGTTAATTGTTTTGTTAATTGTTATTATTTGTTAATTGCATTAACAATTAACAATATATTGTTTGTTGTACAATACTGATAATGGCAAAACACAGTAATTTGCAAACAGGCTTTTTCACTGTGTGCTGTGAGGATCCTTGACGAACTCTGGAGCTCTAGATGAGTCTCTATGGGTGTTTTGATGGTTCAAGGCATTCAGGTTATCCAACAATAATTTTATCAAAATATAATGTCAAAACAAACAATCCAATCTTTAACCTTGTAACATTAAGGTGTCTTAATATATTGCAATGCATATCATAATCACAATATCTAGCAATATAGTATTTTGTCTATATTGTGCACTTCAAATACATATACATTTCAAACAAAATTCCGTGGGATGCATGATGATATTGGAGTCTTTCTCTCTATAGGACAGACGTTTAGATTTGACTGACATTTCAAACTGATAACTGACATATTTATTGAAATCTGGAAGAGTAGAATGTTTAGGTAATGTTGGACTACTATGATAAAACATCTACATTTTATTTATATTACTGTGTTTGTGATCCAACAGAAATAAATATTAATGCCATAGTGCTAATCCAGACAGATCCAGTCTCAATGTCTACATTATATAAGTGATTAAGTATCTGTATTGGCATTGGCATGCTGGATATCAGGCACTGGCCCACGATTCCCATATCAGTGCATCCCTAAAAGAACATAATCATGTGCTACTTAGGTTCAGACTCACAGAACAGATGCCAGGGGTAAGGATCTTCCAACACCACTTGATGAAGAATATGGGCTTGTAACCAATCATGTCCTCAATGTTCAAATAAAACTTGTCGCTGCCTGAAAATGATAGCAAATATTTATAATCAGATAAGCCTCTAATGAATAAACCATTCAATTTCACAGTACATACTCAGTGACAAACTCACATTTAAATAAATGTATCTTAATAATGAGAAACTGTAATTTAAAATGTTTCTCCTTTCACTCTGATCTTGTGTCAATTCTGCTGAAACCTGCAATACTAGCCTCTTTCCAGCAGGTGGCATAGCAGCAACAAAAATATGCCATCTCATGGCAAATGTGACTCCACTGTCCTGATATTTTCAATAATTTATCACAAGGTTGAATACATAAGGCGCTGCCTTTTTCCAAACACGCAGAGTGGTCAGTGATGTGTGACTTTACTATGAAATATGGATGACCAGGTAGAGCTGAAGAATGCCTTACCGTAGACCCACCCGATGCAGATGGACTCAAAGATGGCCACAAACAGCAAACACATACCACTGGCAGCGTAAGAGTCAAACAGCTGGAACACATACATCCCACCCTAATAGAGGAGAGAAACAGTACTCAGTCAAGTAAAGTAGTTCAAATCAAACTCTGCACATCATGCACTTACTGCTCTTGTGGTACTACATTATTGATTGAAAAAACCTCACAACAAATCATAGCTTGGTTAGAACTTCTGAGTGCCAGCAGCACTAAAGTGTCTCTTCAAATTAAACAGCTGTCTAACTTCTTAAAAGTGGGATACTGGGTACATATATCTTTCAAGTACTTTCATAAGGACTTTTAAGTACACTAAAACTACACTTATTTCTAAGGGTTTTGGCAGTATATTAAAGATCTGTATCTTAACCCTTTATTGCAGGATGTTGCCTCAGGGCAACAAATTCAATTTCCTTACTTTACAATTGCATGATAATGAATATATTGTGATAATTTAATCCCAATGTGATGCTTAGTAATAAAAGGAAAAGTAAAAAGTTTCTACTTGGTCAAAAGTGGGTCCTGGGGGATAATTTTTAAACGTCTTTTTGGCATAATGTGGCTTGTCGATGACATGTTTCTGTACCAGGTAGTATTCCTTCAGAAAAATTCTAATGTTTTTAATTTGATCTATCCATCTGCTGGAGTGTGAAGTTATTTTCTTTTTAACATTCTGTTTTATGTAAATGATTTGCATTGCTTAAACATATATGTTTCCTAGAAGCAACAATGTATACAGAAGTTACTCAAAAGTTTTATGCACCTTTTACACATAAAATTCTATTTAAAAAGCAATTGATTTGGGCAACAAGTGTTTATTTGCTCTGAAAAGCACTAATGTTACAAGAAATACAAATAACACCCATACGGAAAGTAGTGATTTGTATGTGTGTAGGTTTTTAAACCTCTTCCTGTTTTCATTAATCTTGTCAATTTTAAGCAAGAAAAGTGAATCAAACATTTTTTAAACATTGCTGTCACAGTGAGTGCAACGGAGGGTTAAACTGACAAAACAAACATGTTGCCTCACTGTAGCAACAGCATTTCTCAGATTCTGCCCTAGACTCTTTTCAAAGTACCATCCCTCTTATAGCTGGAGCCACTTGAGATTTATTCATGGCCTGCTTTACAGTGGAAGTGTTCACCTGACTGCACATTATTCAGACTGAAAGCTCCTGCTACTGTATTGCTGAATTCAAGCCTATTTTTACACTCTACCAAGCCTTAAAAGCTCACCCTAAGTAACAATACAGCTACAGCTATTCCTCAGAAAAGAATGGCAGCTGACTATTCTTAATTACAGACCACAAATTCCCAAACTGCTCTTCATAGTCATACGCACATTCCTATAAGTGAACTTGGGCTGATATATGGATATTTTAAACCTCTTTTCAGCATGGTGCCGCTAGTGAATGACGTGGTTTTTATGGATTTGTATTTTGCATCAAATACATCTTCAAGCAAGAATGTACCCTGTAAAGACAAACTATTCTGAACCCCTCTCTTGTCTCTCCTGCCCTTGACAGCGGCATTTTTCTCCAAAAGTGACACACCTGATTTGTCTCAAAGGACTTAATGATTATTTCATGAGCTGTGTTATGTGTGGCAGAGCTAGACTGAAATAAAAACAGGTTGCAGAAGAGCTGGAGCATCACAGGTATACGTAAATAAGGCCACAGTAACTGTAGAAAACTATTCTGTAGCACAATAATGTGCCATTCTAGGATGTAAATGTTAAGGTAAGTAGGCCTGTCACAATCGTGAGAGTTTAGCTGATGATTAACTGCCATATAAACAATTGCAATTAACAACTTTATTGTATTTTTCTGCTCACTGCATGCAAGTACAGTCCTACAGTCACCAAATTCACTAATTAACTAACTTCCGAGCTGTCCATCCTTAGCAGATAAGGACGCACAGCTCAGGCTCAAATAAACAAACATTACTCACTGCTGCCCTCTACAGGTGATATAGCACCAGTCAGAAGTTAGAACTGCTGCAAAAATGATATGTAAGCAAGTGAAAATATCTTAAATCTAGCTTAATTGTCTAATATTTCTTATTATGAGACTATCGTAATAATGTAAGATTATTTAATATACTTCTTGACATTTGTACTTGTTGTAAGTCATTTTATGTAAAAAAAGTGTTTTGTTCCTTTGGCAGATTATTTAAGTTGTTCCAAATAATTCTTGGAGGCAACAAAATTATCTGCATTATTTTTTCAAAAGAAAATGAATAGGATGATTTCTTTAGATAAATTACTTAAAACATTGCTTAGATATAATTCTTGCAGTGATGACGTGTTTCAATCTTCTCTTTATATGTATTTGCCCAAACTCACATTTTGATTAATGCAATATAAACTTAAGATCAAGGAAAAATAATTACAATCATGCTGTTATTTAATGCCTGTAACAGACCATATTAAATACGCTGCAAAAAAAATTATATTTTAGCAAGTGAAATCATCTTAAACTCAGTCTAAGTATTTAATATTTCTCATTTTGAGATGGTTGTAGGAATAGTATTAGATTATTTCACCTATTTCTAGATGTTTAAGTACATTAAGTCAAATGATCTCACTATACTGGCAGATAATTCTGCTAGTTTCAAGCATATTTCTAAAAATAAGCAAAAATTATTTACCAGTATGTTGAGATATTTTTCTTAATAAAACTATGATTTTCCTTGTTAAGACATCATTTTTGCAGTGTAACAGAAAATTACCTCTGTCAACATGGTTAGACCCAAAAAATAAGAGGCCACAGACATCCCTAAGATGAGCAGCTCTCGACGGTAGCCCACTCTGAAGGTTTTGGGGTACATGTCCACCACTGCAGTCACAAGACTTTCCACACACACAAACTACAGAGAGAAAGAAGGATGGATGAGTATTTATCAAATAATAATGTATAATGCTTAAGTCAGAAAGATGATGTCCTTAGCTATTTCTCTAACTTTGCATTATTATGCTTCATACCTGTATTAAAACTTCTTTAACTTTTTTTGTTACCTTGAGTTGGTATGACATTATTTCCCCGATTTCAACAATCACTATTTCAATGGATAATTCAAGTTAAGATGTCACACAAACTCATTCAGAGTGGTTTGGTGTGAAATGGTTGATTGTAGAGACTCATATTTCTTTACAGTGGTGGTGATAGGAACCAGGGGTCACCATAATTACAACACAAATATAGACATTTTCTTCTGACAACAGCAATATAATAATTATGATGGAAAATAGCAATAAAAGTGAAAAAACAAGTTTTCTTTGGGGAGTATTTTGCCTTCCAACACATTCACTGCAAAAAATCGTAGCTTGTGAAGTGAAATGATATTAAATCTAGTCGATATATCTAATATTTCCCATTTTGAGATGATTGTGCACTTATTATATCTAGCTAATTTCTAGACATTATTTTCTCATTTGAAGTACTTTTATTGAGTAAAACGATCTCACTATACTTGCAGATAATGTTGCTGGTTTCAAGCACTTTTCTTAAAACCACCAAAATTATCTGCCAATACAGTGAGATAATTTTACTTAATAAAATCATTTAAAACAAGTAAAAATGTCTAGAAATGAGGTATATAATCTTGCAAAATCTTGTAACTTTTGCTTGCAACAATCTCAACAGGAGAAATTTTAGATTTATTGACTATTTTTAAGATAATTTTACTTGACACGATACCACTTTTTGGAGTGTTGTATTTATCTCTCCACACCAAAACTTTGTAAGCTATCATGAAACAATGTCAGAGGCATCAGGCAGCATAATTATAATCATTTCATGTAATAACATAACTTAAACCCTTCAGGCGTCTGGTTCCTATCACCACCACTGTGAACAATTCTGACTCAGAAAGTATCTCTAGAACAGAGCATTTCACACTCCCCTACTAAACAGCTACTTACTGCACTTATTTAGTTATGAAAAGAATATTGTCTGAAATTTCACAGTACCTAAGTGCAGAACAAGTACATAGAAACTTACCTCATATCGCAAGAATCTTATTGTTACTTTGGTCAAACCTCTGATATCAAATCTAAGTGGTATATGATCTGAATTCTGCTCCGGATACATGTCTGTGTTGCATCTTACAAAGCTACAGTTGCCAAATATTGCATACAATAAGCTTCATTTGCATACAGATGTTATTTACGATGTGGAAGATGGTTAAGCACCTTCCAGTGGTCTTATCATTGTCTCCCATTAAAAAAAGTAGATGCAGTACTTAAAGAAACCATTGATGAAGGCCTTACACCACTAGGTGGCATGCATGTTGCGAGGTTAGGGTATGCAGTGAATGCAGTTGTGTGTACATTTAATATATGAGATACAATCTTGTATGTGATGTATTAAATGTATGAGATACAACGTCATGCTCATTCCTTTCATATGACATCAAGTTGTGCTATGTATCATATCTTGCCAATGCCCATCTGTCATGATTGCTGTGATATATATATACACACACAAAAAAAGTATTATTTATATGTCAGATGACTGTCATCTAATGCTACATATACATATTTCATCACCTGACTGTCCAGCCCAAGGAAGATGAGCATCATAAAGAAGAGACAGGCCCACAGAGGAGCCCAGGGCATCATGGTTACAGCCTTAGGATATGCAATGAAGGCAAGACCAGGTCCTGAAATAAACATGGAATGTGTAATTATCATGAAAAATTAAAAACAAGAAAACAATTATGTACAGAGACACAGTATGGTGCAAAATGGTGATACCACACACTTCCCAGCAGGTCATCTGCAAGCCAGACTTCTGCCTATCATCAGAGAGTCTGGTGCGTTTTGTCGCTTAACACAGCCAAAAACCACCTACTTTGACTGGAAAAGGCTGTTTGACTCTGAGCCAAGCAAAGAGCATTGTTTCTGAACGACATGTAAGGGTAGATGATTTTTACAACCAGGCTACAACAAAAAGACATTTGCAGGAAACAAAGAGGAACTGGAAAAGACATGAGCCTCCCATTTTCCAGCTATTCAATTTTTCAAAGAAAACTCTTAAATAACTTTTAAATGTGAAATTCACAAACTTTTTTCAATCTTGCAACTTTATCTCGCTATGAAATACTCATTACAGTGCGAAGAGTGGGCAAGCGCTTGCAGAATGCAACTGACAAAAATCCAATAGTTATGGTCAGCTTAACGTGCAACAGATATCAAATGCTTTATTACCAGCAGGTAATAAAGGTATCCCATTTTATTTGGTGCAAGTTATGTGTATGGACAAGTGAATAAATAAAAATAATGCTGACAGGTTTGTGGACTGTTTAAGAACATACTATAAAACAGCAATATGTCAAAGAAATTTGGTTTGTTTAGGTCAGGGGTCGCAACCCAGATGTTAAGAAGAGCATTTTGCCCTTTCAACAAAAATTAAACCGCCTTGGGAGCCACAACATTTTATGTGCATTTTACCATCTTGGCTGTAAATATGTCTCAGTATGTGCTAATGTCCTAGTATAGACTAAAGAATATAATATAAACAAAAATGCAGACTTACTTTGCTCTGCTTTAAGCTTTAGTTCAGCTATGGCCGCTTTTCTCACATCTCCGACAGGAAACCTTTCCACAAAAGTAGAACATATTCTACTTCTTCAATGTCTCTGAATGTTTGGCTGAAGTCAGTTTCTCGTTCACCAGCTTCCTGTTCGAATTTACCCGTTCCTGCTGCACCATTTAAGGTGGAACAGGAGAAAGTACAACAAAAAGCTGGCAAACAAAAAGCTGACAGCTTCGCGACTTTTTAGTGTTCGACAGTTTTTCGTTGCAGATGAAACATATCAGGGAACCAGCTGGAGTGATTACAAATGCAAAATTCATCCGTCTCCAAAGTTTCGATGTTCATCCTAAATCTCTCTCTTTGCCTTTTTGTTAGCTACTAGCTAGGCGAGACTGTTATCTGTGTTGCTATGGTGACAAGCAGTCTGCGCACCAACTTTCAGGGTTAAAGGGTGAATTAGCAGTAATACATTAACTCCAGCGTTTAAGATTATTTAGTGTTAAAACTGTGTTTGAACGATCAGCAGAGCTTTATTTTACTGCAAAAAAGGTTATTTTATGTTTACCTAAAATTCTGCTGTGGAGCCGCAATAGAGCAGTAAAAGAGCCACACGTTGCTGACCCCTGGGTTAGTGGTTTTTTACAAAATATACTTCACAACATGAAAACTATGATCATGTGCATGAGAGACAATTTAGGAAATTTGCCAAGATCTTGAAGTTTTGGTACTCTTATTTACTCCCAGTATGCTAGTCAAGTGAACAAGCCAGAATGTGTTTAGCTAAGAAGAAGTGTCACTGCAATGGATCTAACATCTACAGGGAACCCCTCAGAGATGGTCTTCTTTCATCTTCTCAGAGCCTGTTGTTTCTGCAAATAAGGACTGATTTCTGTCACCAATCTGTGCCCAGTTGTGCAAGCAAGGCTAAGAAGTCTTTTGAACAGTGGGGGAAATGATTCTGTGATCAACATGCAACAAATGCCAGCCTTGGAACCATGCCAGGCAGTGAGAATGCTGAGAACTCAAGGGTTGAATCAATAGCAGCAGTACCTCCCAGAGATTGTGCTGTTTCTTCTCGCAGCACTGAGTATGTACTGCAGGATATCTAGTACTCTAAAAAAGAACACATAACCCCTTGTCCTGTGTTCTGTTTACAATGTCCAGTTCTGCCTAACTTGGTTTCTTAGCCTAATGTGGCTAAGAACCACCTGCAGCAAAGGGCCATTTGACTGACATGCAAAATAACCAACTACATTTTGAACCCAATGGAAAAGGAGCATAAAGTGGTGATTAAAGCTGGAGAAGATGATTCAGTAGAAACCAGGAAATTTTAGCTCGTTTTTGAAAAAATCCAACTGAAAAATTCAGAAAGTGCTGAAGCTGTTCAAAGTCAATTTCATCTAGCATAATATATACACTATGCTTGCTCAAAACTATAATGTAGAAATCGTCAAACATATACACACAGATCATGCACAAGGTAAACATAGTCAGCTAACTTAGACTTACAGCTTGTACCTGCTGCACCATAAGGTGGAACAAGAAAACTAAAACAAGAAGCTGATTTCAGCTTTGTGCTACTTTATTTACTTCATTTCACCATGTTATGTTATGTATTGTATGTTACACATACAATGTCTTGGTGAGTCATGCGTGTATGACATGTAACGTACTAATAACTAACCAGACCAGACAAGCACACAGACTATTAACAAGACTGTTTTAACTAAGACACACACACAAACACACTTTCTAAGCCACTTATCCTTGTGGGTCACGGGGCAAGCTGGAGCCTATCCCAGCAGTCAATGGGCAGAAGGCAGGAAACACCCTGGACAAGTCATCAGTCCATCACAGGGCAGACAGACACATACCCACACGTTCACAGCTAGGGGCAATTTAGTGTGTCCAATTGGCCTGACTGCATGTCTTTGGACTGAGCACCCGTAGGAAACCCATGCAGACATAGGGAGAACATGCAAACTCCACACAGAAAGGACCCTGGTCGGGAATTGAACCCAGCACTACCCACTGCGCCACCATACTACCCAACTAAGAGACAAATACAATAAAAAACAAACAAAATAAGAATATAAAATACAGAATAAAGGGCCATGAAGAAATGCTGATAATAATATCTACACAGATATCCCATGACCTCCTCCGCTGTGCTGATTATGTGCTGGAGTTTGGCTCGTTTATTTGAGGTGAAGGATCCAAATCAGATGGTTATAGATGATGTAAGGATGAACACGATGATCACTGTGTAGAACTGGATCATCAGGCTCTGCAGCAGGTTGAATATCTTCAGCCGTCTCAGGAGGAACATTCTCTGCTGAGCTTTCTTGGTGACAGAGACCGTGTTCCTTTCCCGCTTGGTGGTGCCCGGGAACTTGAGTTCACAACAGTACTGAGGGTCCGGGGGGTCTAACGTGTTTTTCTCGTCTCACATGCTGTCTCCTATTTGGCAGGACGTCCATGACCTACTGGCAGTATGCTGAGCTGAAGTCCACACACAGAACCCTAGCGTAGGTTCCAGGACTGTCGAGATGCCAGAGTACGAAGTGCAAGGCCGAATTGGCCGCATCATCAACAGACCTGTTTGCTCTGTAGGCAAAGTGCACGGGATCCAGCAGAGGATTTGTAATGGCCTTCAGGTGTTTTAGGACCAGGCGTTCAAAGACCTTCATGGCTACAGAGGTCAAGGCTACTGGCCTATAGTCATTAAGTCTAGTAATGTTCGCTTTCTGGGGGCTGAATTGACAGTGGAGGTTTTAAAGCATGTGGGAACAGAACAAACTTCCAGTGATTTGTTGAAGATACTGGTGAAAATCGGTGCTAGTTGGTCACAGCAGTGCTTTAGGGTGGACGGAGAGACTCCGTCTGGCCCAGGAACTTCTCACCTTCTGTCTGCTGAAAAGGCTGTTAACATCCTGCACCTTGATGGCGAGATGAGCAGGCGGCACAGGTAAAAGAGCCAGAGTGTGGGAGAAGGGCAGGGGGCTGGCAGAAAGAGACAGCAGGTTGTTCTTGGTGCATTCAAATCTGCATTGTAGTTGGAGATCTCTTGGAGGCCCCTCCAGGCTGATGTTGGGTCATTAGCACCGACATGGCTTGTCCATGTAGCTACATAAGTAGCCAGCTGCATTGGCCACATAATTCAGGAAAATAAATTCCCCCATAAACAAAACAAACCAGATAATTGCCTGTCCAACAGAAAATCAGTAACCTTGGCCTTGCTTTCCAGGCCTTATAACTCTCTCAGGTTTTGCAACTGTTGGAAAAGCACACCGATGTTCACTCTGGTTTGACCTCTTGCTTTATTCAACCTCTTTTTGTTTGAGGCCTTTTCAACTTCTGGCTTTCTTTACTTTCTTTGTAACATTCACTGCCATTCTTGTGAAACTACCTCGCTACTTTTCTCTGCACAATGTGTACACGTGCAGAGTGTGCGCTTGTGGGCAAATCATGAGGTAGGTAGACAGACAGGCAGGTAGGCCATCCAGTCAGTGAAATTATAGGAAATGGATTTTACCGCCTTGTGGACAGATAATGATTGTTTTTCATTTTTATTGTCAGAGCATTTGATTGCTATGTGTTACTACAGGATATAAAGAGTACTCCAAGAAATGTAACAAAAAAGTTTATACTATAAATCACTCTACTTTTAAATTATGAATGAATGAATGGTGAATTATAGCTTCACCATTACCTTTGGGTCAGTCAAGCAAGCCAAGCTGCGTCAGAAGTATGTAAGCGTTTTAAATATGAACATTTGGACATTTACATTAAGCATGCATCTAGCATTATTTGTTGTAGATTCTTTGAATATTTAGTGTTTTTATACTGATATATTGTACACTGTTTCTTTTTGTTACAGATTTTATTTGCTTACATGTTTCACTTTACCTGGTTGTTCAATACAGTTATTGTTATCAGCATGAATTAAAAGTGGCCTGTTACTCTTTTATAATAACTAGGGCTGTGTATAGGCAAGAACCTGGCCATGCGATACATATCATGACACAGGGATTACACCGATCATGCATAACATTATGACTTGTTTCTACGCTCATTGTCCATTTTATCAGCTCCACTTACTATATAGGTGCACTTTGTAGTTCTACAATTACAGACTGTAGTCCATCTGTTTCTCTGCATACTTTGTTAGCCCCCTTTTACCCTGTTCTTCAGTGGTCAGGACCCCCATGGACCCTCACAGAGCAGGTACTATTTGGGTGGTGGGTCATTCTCAGCACTGCAGTAACACTGACGTGGTGGTGGTGTGTTAGTGTGTGTTGTGCTGGTACGAGTGGATCAGACACAGCGGTGCTGCTGGAGTTTTTAAACACTGTGTCCACTCACTGTCCACTCTATTAGACACTCCTACCTTGTCAGTCCACCTTGTAGATGTAAAGTCAGAGATGATAGCTCATCTGCTGCTGCACAGTTTGTGTTGGTCATTCTCTAGTTCTTCATCAGTGGTCACAGGACGCTGCCCACAGGACGCTTTTGACTGGATATTTTTGGTTGGTGGACTATTCTCAGTCCAGCAGTGACACTGAGGTGTTTAAAAACAGCCAAAATATGCAGGATTCATTGCTTTGGATGTTCACCCGCTCTCTGTTGTCGAAGACATTGGATTTTGTGCACATACTGTGTGGCCTACATAGTATAATCATTTTAGTAATTTCTTTTTACGTAAACTGATTTTATTTTTTTATTTTGTTCTATTGCGGGCAGATTTTATTAATAATAAAAGTATATTGTCTTTATTACCTTGCAGTTTTTATGTTTAGTATATTTATTTAAAAGCATAATGTCGCTGTTCAATGAAAAACGTATCTCCATTTTTTGCGATTTTTACTTTTCTGCATCATTTGAGCTCGCAGTTCTCCTTTACATTGTGTGAAAATTTCATGATGATTGGACCAATAGAAATGCTCTAAAATTGCACAGAATAAAATATCTTTCCATTAACATATAATTGTAAGTAAAGAACATTTTTGCCCTCTCCTGTAAAGTTACTATTTTGGAGATACCTGTTTTCTTTGGACAGCGACGATAAATAAAATAGCAAATAAAGTTATTTTGGTTACGGCCAGGAATTTCTTCTCGGTCCGTCACTAAAACTTACATTTCGTATTCTTTTTGTGTAATGTGAGGAACAGTAAGTCTCACAAATATTATGCAATATATATATAGACCTGGAACAGCCATCAATAAATAACTGTTGAAAAGCCAGATGTATAGTCGTCCTCTAAAACGCACTGATTCAGTTGTGCACAAGAGTGGTAAATAAGTAATGATGACTCGTGCTGAATAAGTCATACAATGAGAAAGTGTTTTTTTGCACATGCATACAGTTCACAGCATGGCTTCTATCACACAGCACTTTATGATTTCAGTGAAACGATCTACAGACGAACACACACACAGTTACAGACACCCACGCGCAGTCACACTCACCCGACTCTGCCACAGCCTCAATCGGCACATTCTGTTCATACGCCATGAAGCCCAAGACGGAGAAGATTGCGAAGCCTGCCACGAAGCTTGTGCCGCTGTTCAAACAGCACAGCATGATGCAGTCCCTGTAACGAGCACAGACAGCTCAGTGGGACCAGAAGAACACTGAAGACTGGCAGATTATTGCCTAGTTCTACAACTGATGTGACACTGTTAGCATTATTCCTACAACAATCTGCATTATGATTATAAAATATTTTAAAATTATTATACTTTGTGACTATATTCAAAGGGCCCAAATTTCCCACATTTTTTTGGAGGAAAAGAGTTTAATCTAGCATGTAAACCTTGTTAAAGCTTCAAAACCTACCACTCACCACTCCATACAGTCTACATATAGACGCTAAGCTGCAAACACAGCTCATTTAAAGATATTATTCCAGATTGCTGTATTGTTCTATTTGTACATACGTCTGTAGATAGGAATTTTTATATTTATTCTTCCTGTTATACACACAGGACAGCCAATCAGAACAGAACTCATTTGCATATGTCAGTCTTCGATGCAGTAACGAAAACAGCCTGTATGATTATAAGGGATAAAGACAGATTAGAAAACGGTAATGTAAAAACAAATTACAACTATTTTGGGATTCAAAACCACACAAACTTCATAAGTGGACCTCATGGAGACAAATTAAATGCAATTAAAATGCAGGACATGGGCCCTTTAAGTCTTATTTTGGAAGTTTTGTACTTCACTCAGGGTTTACTGAAGCTGTATTCTTATAATTACTCACTAAATCTTGAAGTCCATGAGGTTTTTTTATTGCTCTGTTACTGATCAGTCAAGTTCGAGCACATTTTTTAAAATCAAAATATCCACTGCCCACAGTTATGTCAGTTTATCTCTGCATTAATCACTGCATCACACCAAAAAAACTAAAAACAGAAAACTTCTCATTCTACTGTTAAATCATTTATTTTTATATACTATAGCAGTAAAATGTTTAAATGTAGGTATTGTTTTGACTTGTACCGTTTTACTAGTCCTGTCACGATCATGAAATTTTAGCTGACGGCTAATTGTCCTGTAAATAATTTAGGATTTAATTGTCTTTTTTGTTCTCTTTATGCAACTAAAGCAGCTTAATCAGCTGATTAGCTATAAAGCTTCCTAGCTGTCTTTACACTAGACCATGCTAACAGGAAATGATATACTGCACTGTATCTCAAGTTTTTAGACTTAAGCCCTATTTGGACAGGAGAACATTACACATCGGCTTGATTTCAGCCACAGAGAACAACGAGGATAAAGTTGGCTTCTTATTTGCCAGCTTCTTTTTTGAATTTTCCCATTCCACCTTAAATGGTGCTGTAGTTACAGTCTGGCTGCCGCACTATTTAAGGTGGACCAGCTTTAGCTTCGTCAGAGAACACAAGAAAGTGCCTCTTCGACCCACCATACTTAAGAAACTCCCTTTCCACAGGATATGCTTACTGACACAGGAGTGCACAGTCCGTAAAAATGACTGACATGATGCTTTCGGACGAGACTAAAATCAGTGAGAAACACAGGTAATAATTACATTACCCCACCTCCCCATGTAAAACTAATCCTGTCCAAATAGGGCTTTAGACAGAATCCTGTGTAGACTCAACCAAAGCTTACGCATTTTATCTAGACTGAAAATATGAGCAAAAAACACTTGTTCTGCAGGCACATATGCAAAAGCTGGCATTAGCTATTGCAATCAGGTGATTATGTAATAATTGGGACAGGCCTATTCCACACTTCTAAGAGAGTACGGCCCAATCCTATTTCACCCTTCATCCCTACAATTACGCCCTTACCCCTCCGTTTTGCACGTTCAGGCCTAGGGGTAGGGTGTCCCGATTCTTGTTGAGATAGAGGGGTAGGGCAAGTGTTTGGGCTACATGCAGAGGTTTTTCAGAAGCACACTCTAAACAGAGTGTTATGAGAAAAAAAGAGAAACTGGCAAGATGGCTGCATAAGCAACGAAAGACACTCACAAATGTGAGCATTTTCCCCATTAAAATATGCTAACCATTGTAGTATCTTAGTTTAATGATGTTTCAAAGTGTTATGGTCTTTTATTTCATAACAGGCATAAAAAATCACTAATAGTCTCTAAAATCACTAATAATGTCTCGGTAGCTAACTAAATTTTCCGTTCCACCTTAAATAGTCCAGCAGTACTGAAGTCTTAAGCTCCAGAGTGCAACTGCTGCTCCATTTGAGGTGGAACAGGAAAATTCGAATGAGAAGCTGATGAATACCTGACTTCAGCTTCATATCACTGAAGAATTGAATCTAACTAAAGCCCAGCACTGTGGTTGCTGAACTTTACCCTCCTCTGCTATCACTGCAGACTGGCAGGGTCACCTACAGAGCACCGCTAGTAGCCTGTTAATGAAGTAATGTTCGTCTTATTTGAGGGTCCCATTTCATAAGGAAGATTTCAACCACTACCCCTTGTAACTCAGTTCCAAGGCACAAGGTGACCCTCGCAAACAAGGTGTAGGGGTAAAAATAAGAAATGGGATTGGGCCAAAGAGTTTGACACAGTACCCAAACTTTCTCTGTACTTGTTCTACCTCTGTGACACATTGATAGTTATTAGCATATTGTTGTTTTTGGCTGTAGAAGTTGTGCCTACTAAACAATGGCTGAATATAAAGGACCTCCCCACAGTAGGACAAAGGAGCTTTGCTCCGTGTGGCTGGCAGGATGCCATACATCCTGAGAGCATGACTTGGAACGACTGCACAAATTAAGACTTAACTAGTTGATCAGTTACTGCATCAGCTACTCCACATAAGCATGACTGACCAATTATCTGTAAATTATAACTGAATTTCAAATCTGGGAAAAGGTTTAATGAAACCTAACTCAGAATTCATTGTACACCATCTGGTGCCACTGTGTGGGCCTCAATTTTGAGCACCATCAGTGAACAGCAAATGGGATTAATCACACCCTCGTCTCCAGCAATCCTATACTATTACTGTTCACTGAAGGCAAATCTCACCTGTAGCAGTTGTTATTGTAGCTGTTGTAGCTTCCAAGAGCGGTCAGACAACCCAGACAGATGGCATAGGAAAAGAAGATCTGAGTTCCAGCGTCCACCCAAACCTGTGTGGGAGAAAAGTATTGGTATGTTACTTTCCTGATACACCTCTTATTATGGTTTGTGAAGATATTGTCACTAGGCCTAAACTGTTTTATAATCGCTTGATAACAAATAATTGAGATGAGCACATTTGTTTAAGCTGACCTCAATAGTTTTCCACAGTTCTTCTTTTTTATGAGTTCTACTGAGGCAAATGTATGCAAATAAAAGAAAACAGAAAACATTTGAACTAAAGCCCTTAGAGGGTGGCGGAGAGCAATGTTTGTTTATGTGATGCTTTGTTAATAACGCCTTTAGTGGGCAGTGGTGAGTAATGCTTCTTATGTATATTTAACAGATGTTGTAACAACTAACTATATTGTTTTTTGTCAGTATTTACTGTGTCCACCCTTGACCTTTATTACAGCTTCCATTCTTTTTAGGAGACTCACTCTTAGTTTCCCAAAGAAATCTGCAGACACACCTCCAAAGCTTAGTCTTAAGAGTTGGTTGATCATTTTCTGAAGTAATCCAAACACATTCAGTGCTGTTGAGGTCTGGACTGGGGTGATCAGTCCATTGTTCAGCTTCTTTGTTTGATGTGTCTGTCTCCTTTTCTCAGTGAGGTTCTTCTTGACAGCTACACATGCTTTCAGACCCATAGCGCTGAGTTCTCTTCTCACAGTGGAAGGATGGACAGAAACATCTGTGGATGTTTTCAGATCTGAAGCAGCTTAATTTTCTCCTCTCTCTCAAAGATGAAAGCTTTAAGTGCTGTTTATCTGGTGGGCACAGTGTTGGTGTCGACTAGATCTTCCAGGTGGTTGTTAGGGGGCACATTTTCTCTGTGGCTTTTAATCAATCATTGAACTCCAGTTTTTTTCACTTATTTTCCTTTGACTTTCTCCTTCTTCATGCAAGTGGAATGTCTTATTTCTGAGGATATCTCCCAAAAATTAAATTAAACAAATGGTGGTCCCTGACATTTGAACAGTATTGCATAAAACATTTATATGACCTACTGGCACACTGCAGCACAGTAAAGAGCATTATATATAGTAGTGCTGTGTACAGAGAAGCGACAAAAGTAGTGTGGCCTTTAACTTAATCTACATGCAGTTATTTTGGGCATATTTCCAGATTATTCTAAAATCTGCATCATATTCTTCCATGTGCTGAATTGAGTCTTTATACTGTTGTGTAAGGAGGTTGTAAAAATCTGCCCATAGGGCCCCGTGAGCCGACGGTAAATACGGCACTACCTCTTTAAAATGCTCTCACATAACCATTGAGCCACTAATCTCCTTTACTGGGAAAACAATTGACAACTCACAGTATTTGCTTCCTCCTGCGGGTAACCAGGGCAACCCTTCTGACCTCGCAAACACAGAGCAGCTTCCCTCCAAGAACATTCATTCTATGGGGATGGTCATTTACATCCTTTCTGTTTCACACTAGGCCACTGTGGATGCGCTAGCTTGGCTGTACTCGGACATGACGCTACATTATTTAAGAGTTGCTTATTGATGTTGTGGCTAATTTGGTGGTTTGTTTTGTCTTGTTTTGGGTCAGCGGATGCAATCTGAAGCGCGGGAAAGTTCTGCAGTCTTTCATGCTTGATAAAGGTGTTTTTTTCAAATCCTAAGTTGTCTTCAGTATCCTCTGTAAATGAGTGCAAAAACGTGTTCACATAAAAAGTTCACACTACAACTGAACAAACATGAAGCGACCGTATTCATTTAATGAATTGATTCAGTGTAAATTGGCTGGCGTCCCTCACATCAAAATTTCATGGTGAATTTAGAATGGAAAGACAAATATAACCTTCAGCTCGACAGCGTTTCAAAATTAATACGGGTTTTGCCGATGCCTCTGCTAAAGATGAAGCGGCTAATGGATATGGGGAGCATGAACATTTCATGCAGTACGCTTCCAGGAATGGCACGAACACACAAGAGCCTGTTAGGTTTTCTACAGAAGGAGTGAGTTACAGACAATAACTTCAGGATATTTCATTATCTGATGGTTATTTTTCAATTCAAAAAGAATTATGTCAGTTTTAATAAATATTTCCTTAAATTAAAAAAAAAAAACTGGCAATGGACAGACTTGACTAATATAAAGCCAATATTTATTGAACTCTAGAATAGCAGGTTTAGGCGACGCTGGGTTATTACACTAAAATGCCTGCATTTTTAGTCATTTTACTGCATTTGTAATGTTACATTTCTCTGCAAGGCTAATCCAAGTAGATGTAGTCCAAATTTCTACATTGCATAAATGTTTATGCACTGGCAGCAACAGATTTGCACAGTCATATGCAAAAAATTGGGCAACCCTGGTCAAATTATGTTTTGTTGATTTAAGTGAAAATAAGTCACTTCCTCTGCAGAGAACATTTCTGCACATTTTAATGCTCAATTACTGACAAATTGGGAAAAAATACATAAAATAAAACAGAAAATGTGGCCTGTGCAAAAGTCTTGGCACATTTAATATTTTGTTTTCCAATATGTTAAAATTAGCAAATAAAACAGAAACTAAAACTTGCACAAAAATCCCACATTTAAATGTGTTTTCACTTATTTTCATTCAGCAAATTTAACAAAAAGGTGTTCAAACTTTTATATACAAATAATCAGCCAACAATCAGTCCATCTCTAGACACAGCCATGTTATTTAACCATTCTCTTTTCCAGTGACCAATGTTACCACATCTGGTGAGAGATATCTAAATTAAAACAGAATAATAGAGACTCTCGGGTGCAGAAAATTGGACGGTTGGGTAAGACGGGGTGGGCGATACACAACAGACCATACAGAGTCGGAACAGACCACTTATTGTCCACACTGCAGGCTAATTAAACACTGGTGTCGGAGGCTCTCCCCAACAGACAGCAGTCTTTTATCACGCTCGCTGTTTCGCCCTGCCTTTCTCTCCACTTCTCACTCCTCTCACTCTCCTCTCACCTCTGCATTTCACATCCCTCTCACGTTCTTTCTGCTGCGATGATGAAACTGATGACTAATAAGACCAAAAAGCTGTAATCTGTGTGTGCATCTGGTGTTCACAGCCTGAAATCCTACAATCTTCACCTTTTGTTTCTCGTCCTTCAACACTGTTAAACAGCAAAGGTTACACTTTGACAAACTCAACAGAATAATCTTAGGAATGCATCGATATGGGAGATTCTGGGCTGATGCTGATACTCATCATGTATATATCTGTTTATGCCAATACATACACTACCTACATACATATGGAAAAGTTTGGGCACCCCTGACCAAGAATATACTTCTTGTGGAATTCTGAAGTGCTGTTATAATAGAAAACATGAATTTAACTGAATATTTGCAGGGGAAATCACAAATTAAATCAGCATTATGCTAAAACTGCATAATTACAGTTTTCATTTGCAGTTTACTGCTATATAAATATACCTGATATACAATTGTAGGGACAAGTCTTGCAGAATTATGCTGTACTAGGACAATTTCTGGTAATGAGATTAAATTAAATGCAATATTTTCTTGATTTTTAAAGTGATAAGAACAGACTTCTGCAGAATACTACTTTACATATTTTTTTTCTGCAAATGTTAATGCACAGTTACTGTTAAATTTGATTTATTTAAAAAATAGAAAAACTAACAGTAGTCTTTCTAATCTTGTTCCAGGAATTTTTTACCCACTCTTCCTTACAGAACACTTCTAGTTCTGCAATATTCTTGGGCCACCTTGCATGCACAGCATGTTCAAGATCTACCCACAGACTTTCAGTGATATTCACGTCAGTGTACTGTGAGGGCCGACTGGATCAGCTCATGATGGATTTTGAGATATGTTTTGGATCACTGTCGTGTTGTAGAGGCCAGACTCTTATTTGCCTCCTGAATTTGTGGAATCCACCACCGTGCTCAACAGTTGGCAAAGCATTCTTTTCATCAAATGCTGCTCCTTTTCTCCAAACATACCTTCGGTGACTGAGGCCATTTTTACTTAATCTTTCCACAGCACTTGTTTCCAAAATGTCTCTCGCTTGTCTAGGTGTTTTTATGCATATTTCAGACACTGACTTTTGCTACAAGGTCGCAGCTAAAATTACCTTTTTAAGACTCTTTCATGCAGATTGTATTTGTGCAACCAACACTTTACAGTAGAAAAGTGCACCACCACTCCTGTATCAGCTACACCTTACTGCTGTAATGTGGGGGTTTTGCTTCGCCTTTCTGGCCAGCATATGAGCAGTTCTATCTGAGAATTTCCTTAGTCTAACACATGTTGCCTTGACTTCCACAGTTCCCCTTAATTTCAGTCTCTTAATGATATTTTGGATAGTGGAAATGTGAGCTAGAAGCACTCTGATATCTATTTATGGTCTTCCCCTGCTTTGTAGGCTTTAATTAGCTTCATTTTCAGATCCTCAGCCAGCTGTTTAGAGAAGCCCATGGTTGTTGAGTTTGATAAGTCACAATTTATTATGCTCTGTAACCATCGTTATTCCTAATGAGTTATTTACCTGCCAAACCAGTTCTAATGCCAGTCCTAAGTCAATTAAGGCATAACAAGTTAATCAAGTTCTGAGACTTTACAACTGGAGGGATGTCAAAATTTTCGCACAAAAATTGCCAAAATTACTATTCTCTTTTTTAAATTAATCAAATTTAAAAGTAACTATGCATTGATTTCTACAGAGGTTGTATTAGCATCTTTTCTCTTTAAAAATCAAAATATGACATAAAAATTTACTCTCATTACCAGAATTTGTCCTCTGCAGAAAATACGTCTGCAAGATACCTTTCAAATGTATATCAGGCATATCCATATAGCAGTAAAGTGTAATTTGTATTCATACGTCTTTAGCATAATGCCAATTTCATTTGTGATACAGGCAAAAATTCAGTTAAATTAACAGGTTAAATATAATAATATGCTCTAATATAAGTTCAAAGCTAAGACTGAGCATCACTGCATCTCATTTAGGACTGCAGACCTTTTTAAGCACCTTTGTGTATATTGATTTTTGCAGACATCTCAGTGGATCACTGAGGGTGGTCTCAGATGTGACGGGCCCAGGGAGAGCAATCAAAAAGGATTTACTAGGAGAGTGGCTAGCTCTATTGAGTTAAAGATGTAGTCAGAGGTAATCATGATACTGTCAAGGGACGCTATTGCTCAAAACTAAACCGCAACCTTTAGAAGTCTGGAGCTATTAGCGTTGTTCTGCCACACTGTTTAATTAGTATGCAATGAATTATTTATATAGTTATATTTACATTGCATGCATTCTGGTTCACATCAACTGCTCTAATGTTTGCCTGTTTGTTCTAATGTAAAGACATTCCCGCAAAACAAGACTGTATACACCAGTAACATTTCATCAAATTAAAATCATAAAAGAATTTTGATTTAGAATTTTTTGACTTTTACTAACAAACACAAATGTGTGAATGATTAACATCAAATTACACCAACTATAAGAAAGATAAATACAAAGTATACAGTTTTAATACAGTCGTATGTGTAACAGAGTGTTAATCTCAGCAAATAAACAGAAATTGTGCACTAATATTTATGTGTCCCCTATAAAGCATGTGTTAACAATGCTCAAATGTAATATGTTCAAACTTTGAATATGAACAAACTACAGATGGTTTATAAAGGTTACGCTTCAAGGCTGGATGATTTAGTCAGCCAGGGAATCAGATTACATCTGATGGCATTTCCAGGAGCTACTGCAGCTTCATGTGTCTGGTCTTAGGACATCACATCAAGCCAGATCATTTACAGTTTTCTCTGAACTGTTTTTCTGCTATCATCTCCTCTCACCTCTTCATTTTCATTAGCATTTCACATCCCTCTCATATTCTTATAGCTAACGTTACTGCTCAACCAGGGCTATTAATACTTAATCCCCAACCAGGGGCCTTCATTTATACAACAACATGTTTGAACTTTTATTCTAAAGGCAGGCACAATCAGAACAGGCAAAAATTGGAATAGGCAGATTGTTGCTCCCAGATTCAGCAACCAGCCAATGCTTTTTATTTTGGCAGATATTAGAGTATATTAATTTAACTGAATATTTGCATGTGAAATTGCAAATGAAATCAGCTTTATGCTAAATATGTATAATTACAATTTTTTGTTTACTGCTATATATAGCTGATGTACTATTGCAGGGACATGTCTTGCAGAAGTACGCTCTACTAGAACAAATTCTGGTAATGAAATAAATTTTTTAGTGTAATTTTTAAGTGAAACAGAGGCAAAAAAACTCAACCTCCACATCAAACTATTTTATGTAATCACATTTTTCAAATGTTAATGCACAGTCAATTGATTTGGTTTACTTAAATAGAAAAACTGAGTTTTTCTAATTTTGTTTCATTTTCACCCACTCTTCCTTCCATCATTTGTTGTAAAATTTTTGAGGTGTTTTTGATCAAATTATTATGCTGTTCCTCAATTTGGTATAGTCACCAAAGGCTTAAAAAAGTCCAGCAAGATATTTTATCTCACATTTTCGCACATACTACTTAGACCATTACAAATTGCACAGAATAGTCATCAATAATTGAGCCCTTCCACTGAAAATTCCACCCATTTCAGGATTATCAGTTATTTTATTTTTTATTATACTTTGTACATCCTTTTACTTTTTAAAAAGCCAAACTACGCCTTATTTACATTTTAGCAAACCAATCTGAACTAAGCTTAAACTGAGAAAATGTTTGAGAAGTCTTGTTACCAGCATTAGCTGTAGGACCACAATTGTCTATGTAAGGGCTGTTAGCAATGTCTCTTTTACAAGCACCGTTTTGGATACTTTGGATACAAAAGTATGCGTCGACATTACTGAGAACACTGTGGCATGGCTCAAGGAGCGAGTAGGATCTAGATAGGCTCTTACCTGCGGGTCCGAGAGCCGAGAGATATCAGGGTAAAGGTAGAACTTAATTCCATCCGCTGCACCAGGCAGTGTGATCCCGCGAATGAGCAGGATCACCAGCATAAAGTAAGGGAAGGTAGCAGTGACATAAACCACCTGCAGAAAAAGAAGCAATTGATGATCTTTAGTATTTTTAAAGTTGGTGAAGGTTATGAAAGATTCTGAACATGTTGTATAAGCACTCATCTATTCAACTAAGCTACCAAAACAGTCCATAACAACTATTTTCTTGCATACAATGGTAAATATATAGCTTTTTGGCTTGGTGTATGGTTCTAGTAAAAATCCTTTAACGGGCATAGAACATTTACAGTTCGTGTGCAATGTGTTCTCTAAACCTTTTTCACATAAAATACAACTCTGTCTGTTTTGGAGGTCCCTTAATTTTTGTCTTCATAGGTAAGTGAGGATGTCATTTCCAAAAGTGCTGTTATTGTGTTTAAATACTGCTTGTTTATTGTGTCAGTTGTGCAGGATTGTTTGATATGAAGAAAGCTGTGTGTTTTATCTCTGTCCATCTTTGTGTAGAGGTGTAAATAGTTTTCATAACAGGGGGTCTCATCCCTCCCCCTTCACCCCTCACTGCTCTCTAGCAGCTCAACACAGTCATAACATTTCACATGCATAGAATCAAGAGTCCTGCTGTCACAGGAGACGATCCAAGCACAGAGAGGAAAACCTATGAGAAAGGCTTAAATGTGCCGTGTTTAAGTGTATGATTCAATGTATATTATAATAGTTATTGCTTTTAGACTGTTAGAATGTAAGTGATATTGATGGGTGTGGATGAGCTTGATGGTTGTGCACATTTGGGTTAAGATCACTCAGAACTGGAATGAAACCACCGATGTGATGAACGGTAGCTCAATGTGTTGGCACAGCGCCACTAGGAGACGCAGGTGGCAGGTAGAATTACAACCAGAGTGGCATAAATGGCAGGAAAAGACAAAGGAGAAAGAGCATGTACAAACTAATGGAGATCTCAAAAATAGAAATAAAAAATAACACCGTCTTTTATCTTTTCAGTAGTTTTGGGGCAATTTCTCTTTTCTTTTTAAAAAAGACACTGAGTACCGTACCGGCCACCCCTCTACAAAGGTGTGACACTGACAGCTGTTTGTCACAGCCTGAAATGCAGACGTCTAAAGGTGTGTCTAGTCGTTGCTGATTAGCATGTGGTCCTCTGGGAAATGGAGTCAGGCATATAAAAGAATACAAAGACCACTGCAGTCATATGTTATTTTGTAGATGGCGTCATGCTCAATTAAGGAACTTCAGGTCTGTTTCTCTATGGGTAAAATGATCAGCCTCCAACATGCACCCTGCTGTTGCACTCTGTGATAATCAAAAATTTTCCAAGCCAATTCGCTTCGTTCTGTGTACATTCTCCCCAAATTTAACTGAATTATGAGGTGGTTAAAGAGTCAAAATATGAATAACGCTACAAGCTAACACTCAACTGATGTTGTACGATAGTTAGCCTACTACAAATATTCAACATCAGCAACATTAGACTTCTACAGTTAAAGCAGCTTAACTACCAACCGATAAATGATGTTGGTTAGCATAGGCTATACTGGTGAGTTTACCAGCCTCATATCATCAGTTCAGTGTACTGCAGTCTTAGCTTGTACACAGCAATGTTTATATTTCAACTCACTCATGACCTCATAGTTTAGAGGATTCAGTGACAATTGATGGGAAAACATGAACAAGACAGAAAGTAAAAGCTCTTAGAACATTTTTGTTTACTACAGGTGACGACAGTCCGTAGAGAAAAACAGCTTAGACCTGCAGTTCTTTATTTAGGCATGCAATATATATCATTATGAAATGATTTGTTTCATCTGAGTACCAATAAAATGTGACTGACGGGAATAATTTCAATATTCAAGTATCTGCAAGACTTAAAGAATGAATAGATATTTGATTAACTGTTGGTAAGGCCAAAAACTTTGAAGTGCTCCCGAGTGAAGCAACCTAAGTGTTGGCCCTCTCATCAGGGGATCGCGAGTTCGATCCCTGGTGATGTTACAGCCATCTGTGGCCGGGAGTCCAAAAAAAGCACAACTGGCATCGATCTTTCACTCTCTGGGTGGGTAGGGCGTCCCCCCTCTCCCCCCATCACTCAATGCCATGCTAGACAGCGCAAGCTTCTGTTAGCTGACGTAACAGAACTGGTGTTTGGTTGCTTACAAACATGTTCAGCTGTCCAACGACGCTGTGTTAGAGACAGCTCAAAAAGAAGTGGTGGTGCTTCACGGGTCTCAGAGGAAGCCTGTGCTAGCCTTCATCCTCCTGTGTGATTGAGAGAGCTAAACTGAAAATGACTAAATTGGGGAGAAAATTGGTGCAAAATCCGAAAGGAAAAAAAAACTCTGGCTGAAATTAAATATGCCTGGAGGCTTCCTCTTTTAGGTGACAGAACTGGTGCTAAGAGGCTACAAGCAGCATAAAAATTCAGCAGCAAACAGAGGAATGCTTTTGAAAGGTTGTTTTATTATTCAAAAAAGCCAGCAGAATTTGTGTTGGATGAAAAGGAGGCTGCCTCTTCAGATGAGCTAAAACTACAGCTAATCGGTACATCACTGGAGGCTAATGAGGATATAGCTTTCATCAGCTAATGTAGTTAGAAATAACCAGTCACATACTTGCCAATGCGTCCTTGACAACCTTGACGGCAGCACAGTGTAATACATTCAGTTGTATGCAAAAGTTTGGGGGTCCCGGTCAAACTACATTTTTGCTAATTATCTAAGGGAAAAAAGTTAACACACTTCTGCACATTTTTTTTGGATTCTTCCCCATTTTCTCTCAAATTTAGTCATCTCCAATTCCACCCACTGGTTAGGACTCCCCCAATCACACGATTATACCAGCGCTAGGAGGGCGAAGGCTAACACAGGCTTCTTCCGAGACCTGTAAAGCGTCACCACTTCTTTTCAAACTGCCACTAACACAACGTCATTGGACAGCGGAACGCACTCGGAGGAAAACGCCAACCGCCCATTCTGTTACGTCAGCTAACAGACGCCTACGCTGACTAGCATCACATTGAGTGATGTGGGGGGAGAGGCAGGGCCATCCTACCAACTGTGCTCTCTTGGATTCCCGGCCACGGATGGCTGCAGCATCACCAGGGATCGAACTCACGATCACCTGATGATAGGGCAAACGCTTAGACGGTTGCACCATTCAGGAGCCCTACAATGTATTGCAAAATTACTGTTTATTTGCTGAATTTAACATTACATGAAAAGAAAAAACATAAAATGGGGCCTGAGCAAAGGTTGTGGCGCATTTAACATGTCTTTCCAATATGTTCAACTATGTGTTCTCTATAGAGGATGTGTTAACTTTTTTTTATTTAATTCATTTGAACATTCACATCACTAGCATATTCACATTTCTATGTTTGCTTGCTCTAAAGCAGGGGTCAGCAACCCAAAATTTAAGAAGAGCCCTTTTGTCCTTTCTGCAAAAATCAAACCACCTTGGGAGCCACAACATTTTATGTCCATTTTACCGTCTTGGCTGTAAATATGTCTCAATATGTGTTAACGTACTAATATAGGCTAAAAAATAAAATATATACAAAAACACACACTTATTTTGCTCCTTTAAGCTTTAGCTCAGTTTTCCTGCATCTCTGGCAGGAAACTTTTCCGATAGTAGAACAGTTTCTTGTAAAATGTCTCTCAGCATTTGACTTTTATGAGGCTGAAGTCAGATTCTCACTCACCAGCTTCTTGTTCGAATTTTCCTGTTCCAGGAAAAACAGGAAAATTTGACCGAGAAACTGACTTCACCTTTGTGACTTTTTAATATTTGACAGTTTCTCATTGCAGATTAAATGTGTCAGAAAACCAGCTGTAGTGATTATAAATGCAAATAAGTCCATTCGTCTCCAAATTAGCAATGTTTGTCCTAAATCTTTCTCTTTGTCTTTTTGTTAGCTACTAGCTGGGCGAAACTGCTGTCTGTGTTGCTATGGTGACAAGCAGTCTGTGCGCCAGCCTTCAGGGTTAAGGGGTGAATTAGCAGTTCTACATTAACTCCAGCGTTTAAGACCAAATCTAAAATTGTGTTGAATGATCAGCAGAGCTTTATTTTACTGTAAAGGAGGATTATTTTATTTTTATCTAAAATCTAATTCTGCTGTGGAGCCACAACAGGGCAGTAAATTTTGCCGACCCCTGCTCCAAGAATTTTCATCTTCGTTAGAATTAAAAGTGGTTCTTCTACAGCATCGCTCCAAAGAACCCTTGGCACCTTTATGCTTAAGAGCAGACAAATGCAATGTCATTTCCTCTAAAGGAGGTGGTTTGGGCACTTCACAACAAGCCAAAGCAAGGAGGACCCAGCAAAAATTAATACAGGAGGAGGTCTCCTTTCACTGCTCTACCAGATTTCAGTGAATGGCGATTGAGTGAATGAGAGGAGATGAGTGGTGGGAGCCTTGCTCTTGAGGTGATGAGAAGGGGTTAAGGAATGCTCTGAGACCATGCCAAGCAGGCAGGTTCTGTTCTGAAAAGCCTAATTGAGAGCAGACTGAAAGACTGATTCTCAGGGGAAAGGAAGAGGTTCAGCTTTGAGCCAGAGGTTCTGATGGAAAAGCACCGAGCACCATGTCTCTCGCAATTCTGCGCACAAAAAAGGACAGAAATAGAATACCCAAGCGGCTACCAGGTTGTGACTTGTCAACATGATGTTCATAGTCTAAATCATTATCAGCAACTGCAAGAGTTTTGTCTCCCGAGAGACAGGGGGGTTGATTTTTCTGAGCGAAGCCAGTGTGCAAACAGAGAGAGTCATGAGAGTCTGGAATCACTTGCCATATTTTAAATTTTTTACATTTATATGCAGTGGCGTGAAAAGTTTGGGCAGTCAAATTACATGCTTTGTTGATTTTCTGAGTGAAAACATCATCTACAGAGAAGACACACTTAAATATGACAATTTCACTGAAAATTTTACTGCTCAATTTCCATTTATTTGCTGAGTTTAGCAAGGCATGTTCAACATATCTCAAAAAACTGAAACATTAAACATTAAATGTGCCATAACTTTTGCAGATGCCACATTTTAGGTTTTACTTTTTCCCCCAATGTGTTAAATTCAGCAAATGAACAGTGATTGTGTATTAAAATGTGCAGAGGTGTGTTCTCTGTAGAGGATGTGTGTATTTTCACTTAGAAAATCAACTAAACACGTCATTTTACAAGGTTGCCCAAACTTTTCATACGACTGTACAATACTTTCTGTCAAGTTATCTAACTTGAGATTTGATCTCCAGTTTTGTAATATGATGATTTTTTTTCAACAACTTCGTTGGTTATGTTCTACAGTTTTCTTGGTCATTTTAGAATCTTCCACAGCTGTTCACCATTCACAATACAGCAAATTAGAATCATTTTCTGCAACAAAACTGGTTTATAGAGTCCAAACTTTTGAATGCTAATGTGCATTAGTGTGTAAGAAACTTCACATTTCCTAGTTTTGGTAGCTAACACTTTTGCCGACAGCTTTTCAAGGTCCTCAGAAATGAGTTTAACATATTGAAGCTCTTTCAGTCGTATGAACAAAACCGCCCTTGGGGGGCGGCACTAGGTTCTTGTTCTTCTGGCGCTCAGTCAAGACCATACGAGGACAAGACAGGGTTTGGACACAAAAGCCTTCTGCCCTGTTTCCCTCTAGAAGGAGCCCAACCGGGATGTGTTGGCAGTGTGGGAAAATGTGTGGCAAAGCAACTTACAATAACTGATGCCTTCACTTTGACCTCGGTCATTTACTGTACTTTAGGCTACATTTATACCAACTGATGGACGACAAATGCTACTTAACCAGAATTAACAAGTATGCCATCGGCACAGTTGCATAATCAAAAGGGATTTATTTTCTAGTCAAAACAGCCATTAAATACAATTTTTCAGATTCAGAAAAACAGAAATTTACACAGAAGCCTCAACAATATCATTTAATATCCGCTCTTCACCTTTATTACAGCTTCCATTCTTTTCAGGAGACTCACTTTCAGTTTCTCAAAGAAATCTGCAGACACACCTCCAAAGTTCAGTCTTAGAAGTTGGTTGATCATTTTCTGAAGTAATCAAACACATTCAGTGATATTGAGGTCTGGACTCTGGGGTGGTCAGTCCATTGTTCAGCTTCTTTGTTTGATGTGTCTGTCTCCTTTTCTCAGTGAGGTTCTTCTTGATAGCTACACATCCTTTCAGACCCATAGAGCTAAGTTGTCTTCTCACAGTGGAAGAATGGACAGAAACTCCTGTGGATGTTTTCAGATCTGAAGCAGCCTGATTTTCTCCTCTCTCTCAAAGATGAAAGCTTTAAGTGCTGTTTATCTGGTGGGCACAGTGTTGGTGTCGACCAGATCTTCCAGGTGGTTGTTAGGGGGCACATGTTCTCTGTGGCTTTTAATCAATCATTGAACTCCAGTTTTTGCTGTTTATCTGAAGGGGCAGTTTTGGTGTCTACCAGGTCTTCCGGGTGGTTGTTAGGAGCCATTGCCTCTGTTGCTTTTTAGCATTTTTTGAACCGCAGTTCTGGAAACTCTTGTTATCTTCCTTTATCTTTCTCCTTCCTCATGCAAGTAGATTATCGTATATAAAATCTCCTCGGAAATAACTAGAAAATGAACAACGTATACTTCAGTACTGTGAGACTTTTGCACAGTACTGCATGTTCTCTTGTTACCAGTTCTTGCTTGTTAAGGAAACGGCACCTTTTTGCACAAATTATCCCAATCCATTCTACATCCTGTTTACTCCAAGGCACATTTAAATGAAGTCTGTTAACATCGTTCTCTCACCTCAACCTCACTGGAGTAAAGAATGCAGCAGATTAAAAACTACAACACAAGCCTGTTACATTAGCAAGAAGAAGATCCTTTAATCCAAATGTACTCCTCAGCGTGAGATTGGGAAATCTTACCCGCCTCCCAGTTCATATCCTTTTCAATTAGTCAAATAATATGATTACATATAAAAAACCATGGCCAGTGGGCAAATCCTCTGCTTTGCATTCAGAAAGCATGTGTATGGTTTTTACAAAATGAATGGGACAATGCTGAGACTCGGCGCAAGTCGCTCAAACACGCTGACTTTCTCCCAACTCTCCCCGGGTGAACGTTTAAGCCCTCAAATTCGAAGGTCAAACCCCATGCCATAAATCTACTGCCGGCCTATGTGAGAATCACCGGCACTCACAAACGGCCACAAAAGGCCTGTGGCGAACAGCTTAGCAATGCCCCTTGAATGCTCCAATCTGCATAGTGGTCAAACAGGAGGAAGAAAGCGTTTCGCTAGCCGCCATAATTCCTCACAGAAGGGAAGAGGCGAGCGGAGGGACTCTGCATGCTCCTCATGAACGCTCTACTTTCCCCCAGTGAATACAGAAATCAATCTTGGACTGGCTGCTAAAGCCTCGCCATGAAGAAGCATTCTTCCCGTTACTTCATGGCCAAACAAAAGCCACTTCAGGAGATACAGGCCTCGCTGCCGAGCTCTTTTCTCCCGGACCTGTACAATGTGAACCCATTTATTTTTCCCCACACATCCCTCTTCCTTTTTCCCCGCTTTCTTTCTGGCTCATTGAGTCTGTTAGACATTCTTAAAGGCTGCTAAAAGAATAGCATCCAGAGGAAGGCTTGTGACTGAGTTTCGTCGATTGGCAGAGGCATGAAAGCCCTCATAATGCAACAGACTGTGAGTACAAGGTGGAGGTAGAGGAAGGCCAGGCTTGTACTTTGGTTGCACACACTGGAATAATGTGTTCACAACTTTTTTTCTTCCATTATACAGCTTTTTCATAGTAGCATTTGTTTGAATCGTTTACTTATCTATGTTTTCTTTTACCTTTGCTGGATTGTGACCAACTTAAAAGACACAGACTTTTCAACATTTCTACATAATTCAGTGGCTGAGCTGTAAATAGAGTCTTTCAGAGTGGTTTGGTGTGAAATGGTTCAGATTTCTTTACAGTGGTGGTGATAGGAACCAGGGGTCGCCATGACTACAACACAAATATAGACATTTTACTTACTATCCAAAACGAGTGACCCTAAAAGTATCTTTTGAGTTTTATAAGGAATGTTGATGATGATGTTTGTACCGCTGCACCAAGAATCGATACAAAAATTAGGTTGTATGTCAAACCCTTCTCAAAACTATCGCAAAATGTCTCAGACACCAGGCAGTGTATTCATAACCATTACATGACATAACTTTCTGTAAGGGAGCTTTTAGAGGTGAACTGTTTGGTTCCTATCACCACCAATGAGAGCAATTCAGACTCTGTAAGCTCTCTAGAACAGAGAATTTCACACCAAACCACTCTGAATGACTTTGTTTACATCTTATCTATTTAATTATGTTTTTAAAAAAATCAGTGGAATTGCCTTTTGACACTTAAAATACAGTAATTTACAGTTACAGTTAGCAGCTATACACTTTTTTGAATTTGGTCTAAAACTAAATGCAAAATTAATCATCTTCATGTAGATGATGTCTACATCCCATCATCTAATTCATCATCTAATATTCTTAAATGCTACACTAGACCTTGAAGGCCCTACAGTTTAGTGGTGGGCGATATTTCAAAATTATCACATCAAATACTTCCAGACATTTTCACTATACATGATACATATAATATATATTATCTCTTAAGTTTGTCTGTGGTGTGATACGTAACAACAGAAAAAAGAAGAACGATCAGTCCCAAATTTTAATACTATCAAAAACTATGAATACAATAGCTTTAATTTAACATTTCTCACACTGTGCTGGGACTAATTATGCTCTCTCTGTAATGAAACATAAAGTTAGTCAGTGTACAGTTTAAATATGATACTGCACAGCATGTTTTGATGTCTGAAGTAATTTACTAATCTACTAACTCTCATCTTCACACAGACACCTTTAACCGCTACTGTTCAGGTTTAAAGAACAATAACACCTTATTTTACCTTGCCAGTTGATTTTGGGCCTTTCCATATGCAGAAATAACATATGATCCAAGCCACAAGCAGGCACAGCGCAAGCTCCCAGCGCAGCTTCCCAACCTGCTCAATTCCACCGGATATACTGAGGACACGGCGCCTGAGGAGGGAACAACATGATGTAACTAATGAGCAGTAATTCATAGTTTTATCATTTCTGGTAATACTTTGTTTTAACAAATATACACAAACAAATATACACATATTGGAGGTTTAAAAGGTCTTGTTCTTTGTTCAGTAAAGCCTGCTATGATTTATTCATTATGTATTAAAATGTGTTATGTAAAAATCATGAATAATTGTGTTACTAGTAATAATAAACAATGAACACTTTGAAACTATTGAGCTTGAATTATGACCTAAATTCACATCTTTCTAGTGCGTAATTGGCAACGTTCTATTCTTATTCATTCCTATTTATTACTTTTATGCTAATAAAAGGCTACAAATCACAAAATAAGTCAGTTTGTATTACAAATTCTATGCTTATTATTTATATGCTTATTTCATTTCCAAAATGAAGTTATCACATTTGGTAATTAAAATTGGTTGAAACCAACTTAAAATTTCCATCTTGCAAATTTTTGGCTACTAAAATGCAGTGAAATAATGTTTACTTTACAATAGAGGATGTAAACTGACTTGAATTGAAACTCTGTTAGCCTCCAACAAGTGATGAAGCAATACATAACAAGTCATATGACACTATCTAGAACCTACAAGATTTGAATGCTGTCAATACACTAACAGTATGTAAATCTACATATAAAATCTGGCTTAATGATTTTCAAAACAACATCATAAAGTGTTTATTATGCATTATAATGCCATTTTAGTGATTTCCAAATAATACACCTACAATTACAGGTCATTATGAGCAAACCTAATGCAAACTAATTAAAATATTTATAAAATTGTCTAATTTCGGCTTTCACTGAAGAGAAAACCCTTAATAATCCCTGAATATGTGTTAATTGAGATAAAGAGTTACCTCATTTACTTTTAGCTATACAGACAGGAAAACTGGTTCATTCTCTCACAAGTTAAAGGTGCTCTTTTCTTGGATCTTAGCCAAATGAAAATCAAATGGCATAAAAGGCCCCACTATTCCACTCATTTAATAAGGTCTGAGTGAAATTAGCTTGATGACTCTGAAATTACAGCACTCACTTTCTGATATACATGAGGTTAATGCACTGAAATGCATGCTTTCTATATTCTGTCAGGTTTAATTAGCTCCATAAATCAAAGCGTGTTGATTCCTCTGATAATTAGCGAACGTCCAATGAGTGAAATCTTTGCTTAAAACCTGTCGCCCGTCCAATTTCGATGGGGCACATGCTAGATGGATAGAAGCCATGATCCTGTCTTAGCCCTTCCACCTGCTGCCATTCATCATCTTCGACATGTTCTTGGGTGCAGTCCAGCGCCGGGCAGTGCCCCCCATCAGAACCAGCCTACTCTATTCAGTCTCAAGACTGACAGCCCCTATCCCTCGCAGCACTAGGGTCCTGACTGGTCAGCACAGAGCCAGTCTGGGCTTTCCACCATCTAAAAACTTTCAGACTGCTAAGGCCTGGCTGCTTCCTCTCTGCTTGGCCTTGGCAACCAAACAGGAATTCTGTGCTAAAAAAACAAGCCAGCTGGGGCCAAATTTGTGTCCATACCATTTCTAGCTGTGCGAGTGCCCTTTTGATGCTTGTTGACAACGGCAATGCAAAAAGAATGACAAATTATCACTGAAAAAGGTTACGTAGTACTGTGGAATAGTAAGCAGTGGCCAATGGCTCAACAGATGTGCTGTGCCAAAAGCTGTCTGGCAAGCTCGCATGTCACTGTGTTTTGTGACTTCCTTCGCTTTTATGTCGAAGACACCAGATAGATTGTGAGTGGAAGTCCTGAAATTGGCTTCTCTAGGAAACACCGCTGGGGTGAAGTTATTGATTCCCCTGTGCTTTTATGTAATGTTACTGTTCAAAAAACAGATGCATCATTTTTTTCAATTTTATTTTTCAGTATCATTTGAGCACAGTGTCTTTTGCATTGTGTCAAATTATAATGAAGACTGGGCCAGTGGAAATGCTCCAAAAGTAGAAAATTTGGAAAAAAACGTATTTAATTAACTTGTGTTACAAGTAAAGAATATTTTTGTTTTTTCCTGTAAAGTTATTATTTTGGACAAACTTGTTTTTATGGGCGGCAACAATACCTGGAACTTAGGGGACTGTAAAAGAATGCGTTACTCAGTGTTTTGGCTTAGAACAGTTCATAATAATCTTATCTCTCCACATATTATTGAACATGTTGTCACTGTTGGGAGAAAAAAACTTTCTATCTCCATTATTATTGTTGCAAAGATTCAAAGTTAAGAACGTTTTCCTTCTCCTGTAAAGTTACCATTTTGGAGATATGCAATGCCAGCTCTAACTAGAAGAACAAGCTTTTTTAAGTATGACATTCAAAATGGAAAACAACATGTTGCTTTTAAACGTTCAGTAACCTCTTCCTTCAAGGCAAAGCTTTGTTAACAAAGTTTATATTTTGAAGATCGAAAATCGGTAATAAGTAACGTAAAATACTCACTCCCAAAACTCCATGACTGGTGAGGTGGCGTAAGGGTTGCTGAGGTTTGCGATGCTGGCATTGTTGAAATCCACACAGTTTTCTGAAAGACAATACATTAGACCAAATACATAGAATATACTGAGATCTGGACTGTTGTTAGTTTGAAGTCTTACCTCAGTAATGCTATGCTAGGAATATCTGAAATTTGGAACTGCTCAAAACATAAACATCATCACTGTCATATTAAAAACCTCTGGAATCCACTTTGTTTGTTTGTTTGTTTTTTGATAAAACTTGAAAACATCAGCCCTTTATACATTGTATGAATATTTAATGACTATGACAAAAGCTCAAAAACTGCTAAATAAAATCATACAAACTTAAATAAAGTTACAGGAGTAACTTACTGTTACTACTGTTACTACTGATTACTACATAAAATAAACAAACTACAACGATGTAAACAGAGTCATTCAGAGTAGTTTGATGTGAAATGCTACGTTCTAGAAATCTTAGCGAGTCAGAATTGTTCACAGTGGTGGTGACAGGAACCAGACGTCCACCTCTAAAAGCTCCTTCACAGAAAGTTATACGTAAAATGGTTACGAATACACTGAGACATTGTTTAATGATAGTTTTGAGAAGAATTTTGTCCTGAAACACATTTTTTTAAATCTATTTAAGGTGGAGAGATACATGCAGGGCAAAATGGTTTCATCATCAACATGTAACATAAATAAAATGTCTATATTTGTGTTGTAGTCATGGTGACCCCTGGTTCCTATCACCACCACTGTAAAGAAATCTGAACCATTTTACATCAAATCACTCTGAATGTCTCTGTTTACATCTCAACAACTGAACTACGCAAAAACTTCAAAAAATTAGTGGAACTCCCCTTTTCAGAGATATGAGGTTTCATTACAACATGGAAAATATGCATAAATGAATTAATGAATTTGGGGGCTAGCTCACAGTCACTACTTGAGCAGCGGAAACGCCACGGTAGAGTTTATAGGGCCCTATCATACGCATGAAGAAATCAACTCTGAAGAAGTCAATACAGCAAACAGCACTTGTGTATATGATGCAGTCTGAAAATATATACAATATTAACTTCCTTACTTCACACCTAAGTACACACGTCCACATTTCTCCATGCAGAAATCACTGAATACTATTTTATATGTAATAACCCTCCTCTACAGATGAACAGGCATACAGATGATCCTACCTGTGTTCCAATAATGGCCACAGGCGGCCCAGGGTAGTTCCGTTGTGAAGCAGTTGACCAGGTAGAAGATCGCCCACGCCAATATGACCACATAATAGACGTTCAGGTGAGCTTCAATGACTTGGGTTGCATATCCGATGCCTTACGGAGACATAACGCCAACACAAAGATATCCATTGACAAGTAGTCTTAAGCGCTCTCTGTTTTGTTGATTTTCTAAGTGAAAATAAGCGAACACATCCTCTATAGAAGACGTCCTCTATATATTTTTATATTATATATCTTCAATATATTTTTATATTTACATGTATTTTTGACATAATTTGAAAATGCCTGTTGCCCTTTACATTGTGTATGAATATCATGACGAATGGACCAAAAGAAACAGCCAAAAAATAACTGGAAAAATGTGTGGTTCTATTGATTTACTTTAAAAGTGACGTATGTTTTTTCATAATTTTGGAGATATGAGATTTTGTTCCGACAACAGCGATATGTTTTCTATGTTAAGTAGAAATTGTGCACTAAAATCTGTAGTTTGGATGTGTTAACTTCACTTGTTTTACAATTAGAAAACATGTAGTCTGTCCAAAATATGATCTGGACTTACCTTCAAAGAGTGGGCACACTTTTCGCCAACATGTGATGCCCCCTTCACTGGTGAACTGGCCGAGCGCTGTCTCCAGGAAGAAGACGGGGATCCCACAGCAGACGAAGAAGATGACATAAGGCACAAAGAAAGCACCTGCAAGTGCAAGAGGGTCACCACAAAGCTGTGAGTTACTGTCTTTTAGCTGAGACTGACTTGCGAGTGTTGGAGTGACTGCAGCCTTGCCAAGAGAGATCAACAAGTGTGTTATGTTACAATGATAACAGCTTCTCTACTCTTCTTTACGCCTTTTCATTAGACAGACAATGAATACTAAGATTTGATAAATGCTGATTATTAAGCAGCAGCATGACACCCACCTTAAAGTTCATGATTATTAATGATAAGAGGATTAAAAAAGCCACTGTCACCATTTTGTATTTTGTATTGGCTTTAAAGCTAAAACTGACATGACTGAATACTCCATTTGTTTACTGAAAGTCCATAGAACACACACCCAGTTAAATTTTCTCACTGCGTCGTATAACATATGTTAGACCAAGATGCAAAGGTATAGTATATATGAGCATCTCATGTGTACTGTTTAAGTATCAGTATCAGCAGATGCACATTAAAAATATCAAATATCAGTATTCCCGTATCGGTGCGCCCCTTACATACAACACAGACCACAATGCTGACAAACAGAGGTCATATCTTGGGAAGGACTGGGCCATAAGTGGACCTCGCATGTGTGGTGATGGCAGAACTACTAACCAAGGCAGTAGGGGTTGACAATATCACGATATTGTATCATCATTGTGATAAGTTATGTCACAATACACTTTTCTGAGCACATCGTGTACATCATCAGGGCTTAAAGAACACTGACCGTCTGCGTGCTTCGTTACAAAGTGAGCATAATTAGGCCAGTTTAACTAGATTAATTAGTGCAAAACACTAACAATTTCTGTCGCTGTAAGTTTATTGTTATTATTATTATTATAATTGTATTTTTATGTGCAACTAGGTTCTATTCTGTTTGTTCCGACTTCTTAAACCTCAGAAAAACTAAATATGGTGATGCATATCATGTAGAGCTGTGCAATATGACAATATTTCACAACACGCTGAGCATATTGTTGATATCATCTGTACTTAAAAATCACTTCCCAATTGCATGTTTGGCTACAAAGAGAGCACAGTTAGTCCTGTTTAGTTGGATTTAGTGCAGCAGAGTGTGAAATGTTCAATACAAGTAATCTGATTCATAATTTTAGACAGTATTTTTTAAAATTTGGCAATACTGTTTCTGCTCAAACTTATTTTAAACATCAGAAAAAAATAACATCATAACACACTGTATATCATAAACAACTTACAGAAGTATCGCAATATTGCATTTCACCACATCTAATATCGCGCCTTGGAGTATCGTTATATACACACTGCTGTATCGCCCACCCCTACAAGGCATGGCACAAACTTTCAAACCCAGTGAGTGTTTTGACAGCTGGAGAAACGTAAGACACAGCAACCGGCAATGAGATGCCTCGTTCTTTGGGCGCACAGCAAAATCCTAAATCCCTCCTGCCCCCCAAGAGCTGAAAGGACCAGCCGGACCCAAATGACCACTTTATGTGTTAATTCAGCACTGTAAGGGGATTCTGTTGCCTTTACAATGGTTTTACAGAAGTGCCCGTCCAAGCAAAAGGCTTCCAGTCACTGTCAGAGTGTGGTGAAGGGAGCCCACTCTTACCTCCTCCATTCTTGTAACAAAGGTAGGGGAATCTCCACACGTTGCCAAGTCCGATAATCTCTCCGGCCACTGACAGCACAAACTCAATCTTATTGTTCCACTGTCCTCTCTCGTTCACCACTTTCTTGTCGTTGCTGCGTACCAGGTTGGTGTTCGAAGCCTCGGCGTCCATCGCGTCGTCCGCTTTGCCATTTATAATGGGAATAGTCTTTTCGGCTGTCATGACGTCCTAACAGCCTGCAACAAATCGATTATTAGAGCCGGCGTTGAGGCACATGCCAATACTGGAGAGCAAATGAATCTTTACTTCAAAAAATGTCTTCGGGCGGTTGTGTAAACGCATTACTTGTTGGATTAAAAAGGAGAGAGAGAGAGAGAGAGAGAGAGAGGGAGAGAGGAGGAGGAGGAGGAGGAGAAGGAGGAGGGGAGGGGGTGGGAGCAAAGCAAAAGTCTCGAGCGGGAAAGTGAAAAAGCTCGTGCAAATTCAGTTAACACCGGGTGCTGATGGAACATGTCTGATCCTCAACAGCGGCAGGTGAAGCCCTGAGACTGTTAAAGGGCAATTCCACCGAAATGTTACAAAACGTCGTGCATAATTCAGTGGCTGAGATGTAAATAAAGTTATTCAGAGCGGTTTGGTCTGGTTCAGATGTCTTTACAGTGGGGGTGACCAGGGGTCACCATGTCTACAACACATAGCTATATAGCCATTTTATTTACTATCCAAAACCACCAGTGAACTTAATGTGTCTTCTGAGCTTTATATTGAACGTTGATGGTTAAATAGTGGAAAAGCTGGGGAAAAAAGGTTTTTGAGGACTATTTTGCCTCACAACACCCTTCCCCCTTTGGAATAATCAATTAACAAGGTAACAACGTTCTCACAAAACTATCGTGAAACAGTGTCTCAGTCATCAGGCAGTGTATTAATAACTATTTCGTGTACTTTCTGTGAGGGAGCTTTTAGAGGTGGACGTCTGGTTCCTATCAGCACCACTGAACAATTCTGAGCATTTCACACTAAACCACCTTGAATGACTGAACCGCTTAATTATGTAGATATTTTTTTCAAAATGGTGGAGTTCCCCTTTAACTAACTACAGGCAAAAACAGGCTGTACACTAACCTCACCTGCTGTTTACCCTCACGCGACCACTGTATTTGAGCTAATATCCCGTATGTGAGAAAAACAACAAATGAAGCTGAAACTGATTCTCGTTCGGAACTATCCGTTCCACCTTAAACGGTGCAGCAGTTAACATTGTGGCGAGAGGCGCCAGTATGGGTAACTGCTGCACCATTTAAGGTGGAACGGACAGGTCCAAATGAGAAGCCAATTTTAGCATCACCAACTACAAAAACAAGAACAAGTAGGTCCGTACCGGTGTTATGTCTCGCCTAAGGAAAGCAAGCACCTTCAGTATGAGTGTGCCGTCTAGTGTAGCCTGTGCTTCAGACTCCGAGATGTGATCTCAAACGCCTCTCGCTGGAAAAGAGCCATGTGGTAAACTGCATCCTCTCCAAACACCGCTGTAATTCACCTCAGCGGACGCCGCCTCAGTGGAAGGGAGGGCTGAGCGATACCCAATCAAGTATCGCGATATTTTGCCAGCATCACGATATTTTTGCCGGTATCACGATATAAGACTAACATTAAGACGTTAATAAGTTAACGTTAATAAAGTTAATAAACCCAAGCTACCGCTCTGTGCTACAATCCTGGTACAGCTCGTTTTGTTCCATTTCCATCCCTTAAAGAGGGAATTCCACTAATGTTTCCAGATTTCTGCAAATGAACAGTTAAGATGTACAGTCATTTAGAGTGGACTGGTGTGAAATGCATCGTTCTGGAGAAACTTACCAACCGACAGTGGAGGTCATAGGAATCAGACTTCTGAAGAGTTTTGTGCAGGGGTCTTTAATTAAAATACAATAAGGTCCAGTTAGAGAAAATATCCTCAAACAAAGGTCTGGAACATCATAATGTCTAAGTTGCATTATGATTCAGTGCCATATACTGTAAACTGAAGTAGCCTAGTAGGTATATCAACATCTTATGTAGTCAACAACTGAATGTCAAATCAAATAAAGTACAGTTTAGTAATATTTTAACAATTTATTGTCAGTTTTCTCTTTTTAGAGCACGCCATATGAAATAACTTCCTTCTGACTCATTTTCTTCTCCGACTGCTGTTTCTCGCCTTGTCCCTCGCCTCGTGTGTGCGTCATTCACTTGAGTCTCAGTGATCATTGTAATGCACAGATCTGATTGGCTGAGTAGCATCATGTGTGTTGTTTACAACGCATGCGATTGGTCTGTGAGTTTCCCAGATTGCTAAAGCGGTACTGTAAAGGCTAGACGAGTTATGCCGGTTAAAATAGGACGACCCTGTTGAAATGAAAGAATTCTCCATAGTTTATAGGTCCAGGTCCTCATAGGACTGCGTCTGGGTCAAGACTCAGACCGCGGTCTGCCTATTAGTGACCTCTGGTTTAGTGGTTCCCTTGTAAATGGTTATGAATAGGCTGCCTGATGTCTGAGATGATAGTTTTGAAATAATATTTTGCCCTAAAATATCTTGGTGTGTGTGTGTGTGTGTGCATGTGCGTGTGTGTTTGTGTCTTCTAAAAGTGGTGCAGGGCACTGTAGCAAAATTGTCCCAAAAGAAAACCTGTTCTTTCAGATTTACCACTATTTTACCATCATTAACATTATTTTCAAAACTGAGAAGTCACAAGTAGGTTCACTGGTGGTTTTGGATAGTAAATAATTGTGTAGTCTATATTTGTGTTGTAGCCATGGCAATCCCTAAGTAAGTTTTTCTACAGTGAACCATTTCACACCAAACCCTCTCTAACACTTTCTAATCACATGGACACGGTAAGTCCAGATCCAGGTATTTTAGGGTATTTTATGGCCTTACTTAGTACGTTCTTGTTTATTACCTGAAAATGAAACTGAATCTGGGTTGTAAAAGCAACGACTCTTACTGAGGCTTTAATAAACTTTGCATCTTTGTACTGTTTTTGTCATTTATGCCATATAACTTATCAACTGATCAAGCTCATGTTACGCGTGAGTTTGTTTGTGTTACTCTAAATAATGATATTTTGATATATTCCTCATCAGCCTAACAGCTAGAGTTTGTTATTTGAGTGTAATGTAGTTAGACTCTCTTGGCACCCACCATCATTTTACCCAAAGTAATTACACAGCACTTTGGACTTTGGACTTACTCAGTTATTATCTAGAACCCCTATTGGGCATTTCATTTAACTTAGTTAAACTGTTATGGAACTCACTAAATAAGTACCTGGTGCTTTGGGGTTTATTCCTCATACTTACCTGATTAATATCTAGAACTTAGGGGACTGTAAAAGATTGCATTACCCAGTGTTTTGGCTTAGAACAGTTTATAACAATCTTATATTTCCACATATTATTAAACTTGACTGTTGTCACTGTTGGGGGAAAAACCTTGTGTCTCCATTACAGTTATTGACTTCCATTCAAAGTCAATAGCATTTTTTCCTTCTCCTGTAAAGTTACCATTTTGGGGATACAAGGTTTTGTCACAACAGAAACAATGTTATTTCAAGCATTTTGCATATTTGACATGTTTATTTTTGGTTGAAAAGATATTCAATCTACTGAAATAATATATTTGGATCTAATATTGATAAGGACTGAACTTCAGAGAGTATCACACAGATTCTATAATACTAATACAGCAGAATCTTTATATGGAACATAACAGCAGGTCTCTTTGGTTCTCACAGCCTTTTCTTCCATCATTCTGAAACAGACTGGTAACTTTGGATAACAACCAGCTTCAAGTAGCTAGTCAACAAATGTTTCCTCCGTCCAGCTTTAATGAGTATCATGGATTAGTTCACACTTGATTGCTTCGTCTCTCAGCAGGAAGAATTGCGTGGATGGCAAGAGACCCCTTGCTCCCCCAGTGTTCCCTGTGCCATGGAAAAGGGTGACCCAGTCACTATGCACTGCTCAATTAAGGGTCAGTCGTCATTTTAACTTGAAAGAAGTAGGACACTGCATAGAGAGTGGCCACCAAAGATGCTGGCGAGCGCTCTGTTGAGTCAAAGCACGTTGATGTCTGCCTTAATGTCACCTAATATGAGCTTGTGGGTTTTATGCATCATCAAGAGAGCTATGATTGTTTTTCATTAACTTATTATTATTATTATTGTCAGTTAGACCATTACTGTGAGATTGCTTAGTGAGAGAAAGAAGAGAATTAGGACAAAGAGCTTGTGCAAACTAAATGGCATATTTTTAATCGGAAAGAAAGCTCCATGAGACAAACCGAAAAAAGGTAAAAAGCTTTTATTTCACAGCTTGACCAATGTGTGACCGTCCTTCGGGAACACTATCGCTGTGGAGAGATGTGAGATGAGTTAGGATGGAGACGTTGCTAGGATACAAGTGCATCACTTTCTTTTTTCTTTTTTTCCACAAACACTGCTCTGCTACGAGAGTAAATAGATGTGTCCTCCTTTGCCTTCATGTTCCTTTCCTTCAGATTGCTGATATATGTATATATGTATGTCCATTAAAGGCCCAAATCCTATACCAGTCCTGTACCAGTCATAATTCATTTTCCAGCCTATGCAAATGTATGTAAATGAGCCCTGTTCTGTTTGGTTGCCATGTATTGCAACTCATTTGAAAAGCAGCTTGAGCTAGAACAATACTTATAACCTCAGCGAGAATGGGCAGGGTTAAAATATTGTATGCAGATGTATGTAAATGTGTTGGGTTTTGTAACGTCACAAAAACATGAATTCAAATTGGGTCATTTTTGCTTTGTTTTCATAAATGGACTGAGGGCTGAATGGTACATTTTGAAACTTGCGATGTTTACATACTACATCAAACACGTTTGTTCCAAAAAGGAAAGGAAAATTCCGGTTTCCATGGTTTCCGTTAAGCAGCACATGTATGAATATGTGAAGCACATAGGAGCATTAAGTGGTCTAAATAATGAAATATAGGAGTGCAATGGAACAAAATGTACTCCAAAGTTTCCAAGCCTCCCAAAGATTACACATTTATCTCCTTCGGGAGGCGCTGTGAGCATTCAGCTTCCCTGTCCACGCTCAGACACGCACTTCCCCGGTGGGAGGCACTATCCCACTCCAACACCAGTGCACAAAACAGCTCTTACACAACAAGAGGGCAGAGAAAAGTCTTGTACTTAAATCCGGACTCCTGGTCTCAAGACCAACGCTCTGACTGTTCAGCTTTAGAGTCAGATTTGTTAGCTTGATTACTGGCCAGCTTTTCAGCAGAACTGACCCCATTGAACAGGAAGCCTCCAAACGCAGGCCAAATGAAGGGGGG